CGCTTCGATGCAAATCTGTAGATAGTGTTTTCATTTAGAGAAATTGGTGGATTATTCCAAAAGCAACATCAACTCTTATTTCTTTGATTATATACTAATTAGTAGTTCTTTGATTTTAAAATATGATATTTGAATAAATACTAATTATAATTATTAAATTTAGTATGAAAATAAAAAAGTAAAAAAAATTTAATAAGTTTAATTTCTTATGTCTTATGAACTTTATTCTATGTCAATTAAATTATATAATATTCATGAAAGTCAATATATTCTCCTAATAAGATATTTTAAAATAAAATAAAATACAAAACCTAGAATTTTAATAGAAAAATAGCATATTTTTGAATACTGTAGCCATTTGCGCATAGAAGATAGGTTGTCGGGACAAATTTTTTTTTTTCATTTTATAGTACATAAAATAAGCTTTAATTTGATATATGTTTAAAGGACGCAGTATTTCCGGAACATTTTCAAAAATTAAGTTGAAAAAGTTAGTTTTTGTAAAAAAGTTGCTATTTTAAATCCCCCCTGTGAGCAGAATAAGTGTAGATTTTCAAAAAAAAATGATATCAAACGAAAGGAAATTACCTAAGGTTTCAATATAAAAAAATATTATTTTTATTTGTTCATTTTTGAAAAAGTTATGGCAGTTTTAAGTACAAAAAACATCCCGATAAAATGTAATTTTTATCGCAAACATTACATTTTTTTTTGAATTTTCGACAGCCATTTGCACATAGAAGATAAGATGTCGGGACAAATTTTTTTTTTTCATTTGATAGTATATAACATAACCTTTGATTTGATATATGTTTAAAGGACGCAGTATTTCCGGAACATTTTCAAAAGTTCAGTTGAAAAAGATCTATGTTTTTTACAATATTTAAAGTTTTGAACGCCGCCTATATATGGGGAAATTGTCCAATTTTAATAAAAAGTATGTCAAATGAAAGATGTGCTGATAGTTACATCTTTCGAAAAGTTATAACACTTTTAAATTGAAAATTTAAAATCGAAAATCGAAAATTGTAACAAATAAATAGTGTTTTTTTAACTACGGCAGCCGTTTAAATGTAGAAAAAAAAGTGTCGGGACAAATTTTTTTTTTTCATTTTGTAGTACATAAAATAAGCTTTAATTTGATATATGTTTAAAGGACGCAGTCTTTCCGGAACATTTTCAAAAATTAAGTTGAAAAAATTAATTTTTGTAAAAAAGTTGCCATTTTAAATCCCCCCCAATGAGCAGGTTAAGTGATAGATTTTCAAAAAAATGATATCAAATGAAAGGTAAATATCTAAGGTTTTAGTATAAAAAAAAATTATGTTGATTTGTTGATTTTTCAAAAAGTTATGGAAGTTTTAAGAAAAAAAAGTGAAAAAATTTCGAAAATTAGCGATTTTTAAATTTGTAATTTTTTTGGATATTTCCCCCATTTGCGGGGAACGAGGGAATTTTTTTCAATTTTTAAGGGTAATGTCTTCAACTAGATACGATTTGTGATCTTTTGACGTATTTTTGAAAGAAATCGGTCCAGTGAGAGCTGAGAAAAAGTGGCAACAGACAAAAAAAAAAAAAAAAAACACATCATAGTAAAATTAATACCTTCTCCGCTTCGCATCGAAGCTAAAAGTGTTTAAAATAACAATTTTTACAAATTGTGTTCTTAACAATTTTTCATAAATTAGTTATTTATTAAGAAAACGCGAGGTTTTAAAGTGGGCGTTAATAAGAAAAGGAGTCCCGAAAAAGTACATTAATATAATAGAAGATATGTATGATGGAATTTGTACCAGGTTAAAAATCGTAGGATAAAATAATTCCAATGAGGCTGAAAGGTAAATTTTATAAGACTGTAATGAGACCAGCTATGATGTATGGTTCAGAGTGTTGGGCAGTTGACAAGAAAGTAGAACAGACCCTATTATGCAATTGAAAATAAAACTCTTAGTTATATACAAGATGATTCCTTTTAAATTTTTCCAAATTTGTATCTATACTAAAATGTTTAAAAAATTGTATTCAAATTCATCCCTTTAAATGATAATAACTTCCGAATAATGGGCAAAAAGTTGTTATCGAACTAATTTTCTTAATTAGATCATTATTTATTTTATAAGCTAGTTGAATGTTACAATTAATATATTTTAAATAATTGCATAATCTATATGCATAAGTGAGGTAATGTTTTTAATTTTGGATCTAAGGAATTAAAAACTACAGTAGTTTCAATATGTATTGGGATAGTCCTTATTTTTCAACTTTATACATTTTATGTCACAGACTCAAAATTTTATTAGGCTTATTAAAAAAGAAATCTTAGTAAAAATTTATCTCATTATATCAACGTCACCGTGTGCCTCAGAGTTATTTTAATTTTATACAGATAGTGTAGATTTTCTTATTTTGGATGTATACTCCATTATTTTAAATTTACTATAAAAACATAAAGAGCTATTATAGAACATAATATGAACAAAAAAAGGTAATTAATTATTTTTTTGTAAATTTAATAGTTTTTTCTAAAATTAAGAAAAACTGATTTCGCTTATTTTTATGAGAAAATAACATGGTTTTTAGTTTTTCTCTTGTATTTCCTTAAATTTTTAATTAAATAAAATGTTGAGCTTGCAACTGATTTTTTTACTTTTATAGCTAAAGATCACTTTAATATAATATATACAAATTAAAACTATAAATTGTAATGTAGTCATGACGTATAATTTTTTTTACAACCGTTAGGTTGGTTAACATTAATTGGAGGGTTGATATATCCTGGTGAAATTTTTAAGTGCAATAGTTTCTTGTTGCCTTCTACAATGACATTTCATATAATAAGATATAATGTCAATTTAAACTGATCAAATTTACTTAATACAAAAAAAAAATTCGTAAAAAAGTTAAAGTAACAATAATGTTATCTTCATGGTAAAATATATTGTTTTTTGGATCAAAGCAAAAAAAATAATAAAAAATCATATTTTTATTATTTTTCTTATTCCTTATCTTAATCCCAACTGTTTGAGATTAACTTCCCTTATATATGTTTTTCTTTAGTTGGAGAGTATTTTCAAATACGTTTCTGATCATATTATGTGTTTGGCTTTAATAGAAGATTATTTCATGCAAATCTATTTGTATGGTTTCATTAAAGGTACTTAGCTGTTTTTCAATTAAGATTTGTTCAGTGAATATCATTTATTAACATTTAAAAATATAGTTCTTCTTCTTCTTCCTCGCCTTAATCCCAACTACTTGAGGTCGGCCACCCTTTCCCTAAAATTCCACTTGACACAACCTCCCATGTCATCTACGTATACATCACCAATCGTATTCAATAATATCCCTTCATCTATTTTTCGGTATTTTTCTACCTCTTCTTACTTCAACACTAATTTTCATGACTGTTCTTACAGCTTCAGATTCCTTCTCCTCATAACATGCCCAAACCATCTAAATCTATTTTCTTTCACCTTATCTACGATTGACGCTACATCTATACTCCCTCTTATATGTTTGATCCTTATCTTATATTCTCTAATCACTCCACTCATCCATTTACATATTTTAATCTCTGCTACACTCATTCTCAACTCTACTTTCTTGTCAACCGCCCGACACTCTGAACCATACACTATAGCTTGTCTCGCTACAGTTTTATAGAACTTACTTACCTTTCAGCCTCATTAGAATTCTTTTATCGCAAAACACATCAGACCGTTTTCTCCACTTCAATCACCACTTACATTTTCGTCAATATCACCGTTCTTTGTCCAGCTGATTCTAAATACTTAAAATTGATCACCTCTCCTATCATTTCCTCGCTTATTGTCACTGATTTCCTCATTTCACCTATCTCGTGTTCTCCTTTGTCAAACTTGTTTTCTATTTTTTATCTTTAAAATATTAAAAATAAGTATTCAATTAATGACAAAATAAATGGGAGGAGTCATAGCTTCAATAAGTATTCTAAAGGCTGTTTCGTGTTAATAGTATTACTTGGTTCTAATAAAAATCAATTTTAATGTAGTATAAAAAAACTTAATAATAGCTAATATCAAATAAGTAACTACAGAATTACAATAAGTTATTAAGTGTTGAGAAAATAGAGAGTCTCTTCTTAATTTTAATCAAGTTTATCGATCATGGTAAAACATTATTTTTTCATTACCATTAATACTGAAATGTGAAACCGTAGCTCATCATGCATTTTTTTGAAACGTAAAAAATATTTATAAAATAAATCTATAAATAACTTTAAATATTTATTGAAGTGATTGAAAATTAAAATTAAATGTTTAATTTTGGCTTAATGTGTAGATAAATGAAACAAAAAAGTAAATAATTTATATTTTTAAATAATTTAAAAAAATTATCTTATAGAATGAGTTTAATAGTTTAATATGATTAATAGTAAAAAAGCTACAACGATAAATCAAAAACTCATATTAGTATGAATAGCAGTTTTTAACACCACAAAAAAACTACCATAGTCATTATCTTTATTATAATTTTTTACTTAATTTGTTAATTATACTTAAAGTAAAACATTTTTAACAAAAGTAAAAATGTATGCAGAATAGGGTTAGATATATCATATTAAATATATTCTCAATCATCAAGAATTTATATATTTTTTTAAATATTAGAATAAAAATACTTTTTAAGCTTTTAGAGATTGAATTGAGATTTTCACAGTTTATAGTAAACTAGTACGGATCTGTTTCGACAATATGACTTCTATAAAAAAAGAAAAATATTTCTTATCTCTACTGCAAAATTGTGTTGATGGCAATATTTAAAGAGTAAAAAATAAGTATGAGAAACAATAATAGTACAATGTGAATTTGGTTAAATAATTTCATTATCTAATACTAAATAATAAAGACACGTGCATTGAAATCACTAAATGAACTAGGAAAATCAACGATGTATTTCTTGTCGCTGTCGTACATGAAGCATAACTGAGAAGAACTGTACTAGCGCATGCTTTTAGTTATCATTGGATACCAGTTAGTCGACAGGTGTGCGTCCTGCGGCGCGGTCATGAGTCGTCGTCAACCGACCCAAGTGCGTGTGAGGTTTTACTTAAGTAGTAAAATTTTAATGAGCCGATTAAGTGATACAAAACACATCAGCGAATGATTTTCTCAATTGGGATTATAACTCGGCAGTAGTTTAACTAGAAAATCGTAAGCGCTAATTATTTTCTAATTATCAATTATACTTTATCAGGTTTCAAATGTTTTAAAACTATCAATGCATTTAAAACTGCTGTATGTTATAACTATAGGGTACAAAACATCTAATTATTTATATATTTTAAGTTTATTTCTTAATAAAAGAAATGTTAAAATTCTTAAAAAACAATATATTCTCCAAATATAATTAAACTTCATTCTAAACAATTGGCCAGAATTGGTAAAAAATTAGCGATTTATTGAAAATTAATCAATATTATCATGTTTATCATTAAATAAGTAATAAATTCAAATAATCGCAAACAAATATTAAGACGGTATAAACATTTATTATAATGCAAACCATTTTTGTATAGTTAATTATGAGTGATCAATACTTGGTCGTTTTCTTTTTACAGTATTTATAATTTCCCTGTGTTTGGTAGCTACAGTAGTACAGAATACTACTTTTTATGTTTATAGATTGCTATGTGATATAAAAATACTATGTTTCTCTGTATTTGAATTATAATTTATAGATAATAATTTTAATAATTCATATTTACAATATGAAAGTTCTTAATGAAGTAACATTATTGATGGCACTTAGTATCATCCAATGATACATGGTACTTGATGTACTAATATTGAAGTATTAAATCATGATCAGTAAATTATTTGTTTTTATTTAAGAAAATAATTGTATAATACTTATACATATTTAGTTAAATAAATCAAAATTAATTTTTAAAAAATTAACACTAACGTCTCATGAAAAAAATATTTTTAACTTAAATAATTTTCAATTGTTAGTTGTACATGTCATTTAATTTCAAGGTCATTAAACAACAAATATTAACGAACAATCTTTAAATTTGGTTTTTAGTACATATTAATTGGAATAAAAGTAAAAAATCATATTAGTTGTGAAAAATAGTAGCTGTATTTTAATTAATTATTTATAATCGTTGATAATTTCAAGGAATATAAATGAATGATTAATTATACATTTTTTTTACGTTATAAAAGTATATAAAGCATTTAAAATATTTTTTGCCACCACTAGAATAATCTACGTGTTAACTTATCGTATTTAGAAACCTTTGAAAGAAGGCAGTCTGAAAGTCAAACTTTATTATTATAACCCATTTTTTTTAATTACCCTATTTAGATTTCATTTTCTATAAAAAACGATTATAGCCTAAATTTTGATATTTCCCCTTTAAATATTCTTCTAAAGTAGTACAGAAAGTATGTTAATTTATTTGATTTTCGATAAAAAATTATATTTAACACGTTACAAGTATAATATTGTTTCTTTTTATAATTAAGTATTTTTTAACGTTTTGATTTGAATAACTATTTGTATTTATATTCTCTTTAAAACTAATATTATTCAAAATACGTAATGTAATACAAGTGGAAATGTTTATTTTAAAATTAACTATCATCGAATTCCTCTATTGATTTTATAAAGAAATTTAACCTTAACTTTAACACTACTTTAAGCTGAATGTGTGTTTAATGTTAATTATTCGTATAAAGTTAACATTCCCTAATGATTATAATGTATTTATAAACCTAAATTCTTGATAACACGTTGAAAACTCTTTTGAATGTAAATTGCACTTACAGGTACATTTAATTATAAATGCAAATTTCGCATTGAATAGCAAAATGATCCACATGTTTAATACTTATAATTTTAGTGTCTACTCGAAAAAACCTCGACTATTACAATAGTAAAAAAAGGTCCGTTATAAAGCCAATCGAAAACAAAATTTGGCTGAAAATTTTAAATTCTATATTAATATATTCATTTCACGTCCAGGGACAAGTCAGTAGTGTTAGTTGTGTAGGTATGTTAATAGTAAAGTAATATTTCACGGACACACGCAAAAAACGTGATTGGCTACATTCGCGTCGACACATCATCGCAGTGACATCATGTGGACTCCCATCCAAACCACATACAGGTACTGTTCTGTTGAAATGCCACGGGCCATTGAACCCGAATTACATTTATTTGTGTTTATATGGATAGTTATCGTATCGTCACTATTGACCACAAAATTATTCAACACAAATGATTATTTCAAAACTAGTACATAGAACGGCTATAAGTGTTATATTGTATAGATCATCTTCTGCGAGTTCTTGGTACATCGATAGAATATAATACAGTTATGTTCTATAGAATAAATATAAAAAATTTATATAATATCAAATGAAATTTCATCTGCATTTTTTATTAAGTAATACTATGACAATTAAACTATTATTAAATAAATAAATTAGAATTATTCTTGATGTAATTCAGTGTTGTATTTTTAGGGCGGGAGCAATCACCTGCCACAACTTTTTCAACTTTACATTTTTTAAATCCGATATTTATGTTAAATGTCATTATGGTTTAATATTTTGCCTAACACTTAGTTTTTGGAAAAATAATTGACCACACGAATATCTATCGTAGTAGAAAATATTTAGTCACTTTAAAAGAAGCTTTAAAATTTAAGATAGTTTAATTATATTTGCAGCATACATATTGATTGATTACAAATACATATACAATGTATATGTGATTGTATTTATGATTTTTGAGTATTATAAATATTTAAACTTTTTCCCGTTAAAAAATAACTTGAAAAAATGTTTGGGCGATTTACTATTTAATTTTTAGTAATTGTTTTAAAGCTAAAAAACACAAACTATTTCCTCGTTATACATGAAAAATTTGTATTTTTGTTGAATTTGAATTAATAGTGAAAACTTATTTCATAAATTTAGATTTTTATTATAATAAAAATCAATGAAATTAAAAAAAAAAAATTTGTGGTTTCAAACAAATTTTTGAAGGATGTTTCAAAATATGGCAAAAGTACTAGTTCAAAGAACACGATACATTTATTTCAATAAGTTCTATTACAATACTCAAACTATTAGGAAACCTACATTTTTCTAATTTCAATAAATCGATTTTAAAATTATATTACTCTAAGATAAACCACGAAAATGACTTTGAAACAACTGGTCACGTATATGCAAATAAATATTCTATAACAGAATAACGACATGGTATTCAAGTATATCACAGTCAAGTCGAATTATTGTACAATTAATTCGATAATTTTGATGATTTAATGTTTTTTAAANCTTTAAAATTTAAGATAGTTTAATTATATTTGCAGCATACATATTGATTGATTACAAATACATATACAATGTATATGTGATTGTATTTATGATTTTTGAGTATTATAAATATTTAAACTTTTTCCCGTTAAAAAATAACTTGAAAAAATGTTTGGGTGATTTACTATTTAATTTTTAGTAATTGTTTTACAGCTAAAAAATACAAACTATTTCCTCGTTATACACGAAAAATTTGTATTTTTCTTGAATTTGAATTAATAGTGAAAACTTATTTCACAAATTTAGATTTTTATTATAATAAAAATCAATGAAATTAAGAAAAAAAAATTTGTGGTTTCAAACAAATTTTTTAAGGATGTTTCAAAATATGGCAAAAGTACTAGTTCAAAGAACACGATACATTTATTTCAAAAAGTTCTGCTACAATACTCAAACTATTAGGAAACCTACATTTTACTAATTTCAATAAATCGATTTAAAAATTATATTACTCTAAGATAAACCACGAAAATGACTTCGAAACAACTGGTCACGTATATGCAAATAAATATTCTACAACAGAAAAACGACATGGTATTCGAGTATATCACAGTCAAGTCGAATTATTGTACAGTTAATACGATCATTTTGATGATTTAATGTTTTTTCAAAATATATTTAACACGTAACAATTGTCTAACGGGGTTATGAAAATGGAATGAAGATCTATTAGAGAAAATCTCTGTAAATGATGATGTTGGGTCGTGGNAAAATATATTTAACACGTAACAATTGTCTAACGGGGTTATGAAAATGGAATGAAGATCTATTAGAGAAAATCTCTGTAAATGATGATGTTGGGTCGTGGGAGGAGGACGATACGTTGACCTTAGTCTCCTCCGGTCGATGATGTCAGGCCGGGCGGCCGCTTACGTTTGCTAGCATCATATACAACAATAGTAAAAACTTTACGAGTCTCTTTGTGAATTGATGTTGATGTTAAAAAAATGTAATTAATTAGACTAAGACAAATCGCTAACTACTTTCCCTGCAAAAAACTAACTTTTACTCGGGTTACCGCCTAGGGCGCAAAGGGAGTGAATATTGAGATAATCCGCATTCCATATGATGAATTTACGAATAGTATGCGTTACACTGTACTTACGAGAACCCCAACCCGGAAGTCTTGTACCTATAACCTAATTAAATGCATTTCTATAAAAATTTAGTTCGCACATTTATTGTGTAATTGTTATCTTACAATTCTTTAATTGTTGTACATTTAACAACGCCTGGTTTGAATTAGCATTAAAAAAGCAAATAATAAACTTAAGCACATAATTTTTGTTCATTTTACTTTATATAGATTGATGTGAACAGTATATGTATGCACACATACATTAAACGTTATTAATGAAAAAATTAAATAGGAGTCGGTCGTTAAAGTCTTGCTTGATACGATTTTCCTAAAATTAAATGTCATTTACTATATATACACTTCGTCGAAGTTTTATGAGACAACCAACTGTTTATGGATAATAAAAATTAATTAATTAAAGTATATTAATAGAAACAGAATATTTATGTAGTTTTATTGATTTATAATATATTGATCCTGTATTAAGTATTTTTTTTTCAACACCAGTTATTTTTAATAATATTAATGACCGTGTACAATTTTAATGATATAAAGTTTATTTAAAATTAATATTTCCTTTGTGAGATAGTTGTTTAAAATATTAATTAATTTTTATTTCAGGACATTTAAAATGGGTGATTATGATAGAATTCGGAGGATGTGTCAAAAACGTGGTGAACTTTGGGAAGATCCTGACTTTCCTGCTACCCAATCATCAGTGTTCTACCATCAAAAACCACCATTTCAATTTGTTTGGAAGAGACCTAAAGTACGTTAACCGATACATAAAATTTATTACATTTACCAATTTATCTTTAATCTATAGTTTGTCCATTTTCTTAGTAATAAATTTAATTTCGTATCAAATAAGCAAGTTAATGATTTTGTTTGGTAAAAATGGTGGGTGATAATAAAAATAATCAGTGGGATGATTTCTCATCACCTACGCGAGGGCAACGTTACAGAGAAGACAAAGACCCTAATATCATTAAATAATATTACATAAATACTATTCTAATATTTTTTTTAAAGAATTAATAATTAAATTGAGTATAATTATTTTTGTAAAATGTTGTGGAATTTTTAAACCAACATTTTCTAACTATATTAATATTAACTGTATAATTTTGTAATCTTCTAATAATAAAACATATACCTAATATTATCAGTAATGAGTTGCTTCAGGTAAATTAAACTCACAAATCATTGTCTAGCATCGTACTTAACATCTACCATCATTCCATTATTGTTTTGTTATTGTGCACTCAATGTTAATTACTTTTTAGGTACCTCGTAAAGATGTCTATTATACATGACTCTTATTAACAAGTACCTCCTTATACACCTTTAGGCAAGTAGTACAATTTAATTGCAACTCAAAAAATAATTTTGTACGAATATACGAGAATGTACGTTATTTCAAAACGAAAACATTCTTAATAATATATCAAATATACTGTACAAAAAGACAATACGTATACTTGTTTCTATCACCTGAATATTAGTTTATCAAGATAAGATAAACAAAATAGGAATTTCTATCTACGAAAAAAAAATTATATCTATTTAGAATCAAAACATAAAAATGATTGTACTGGTTTTTTGTTTTTAATGTTGTTTTCAAATATGTTTATAGCATTAAAACGTCAAAAGCAAGTGTTAGTAGTACATAGTAAAGGTTTACTTAATATAAATTTTTCATCTCATAAAACACCAATCCAGGACAGCTCCCCTCTACGTTAGCATACAAAAGGGCAAAATTATCATTTCGTTCCTTCTTAATTCAATTCCACAAAAAAATAACGGCTAAAAAAAATTGTTTATTGTTAGAGATCATACATTGAATTGAATTAGTTAAATTGGTTAAATGAAAATTTCCTTTAATAAATTGATTAAAAAAATAATAATTTATTGGCGATTTCAAATTTTGTGATTATAGTGTAATGTTTATTGTTATATTATCAATTGTAGCCAACCAAATTGATCAATGTAAAATTGAAATCAAGTTTTTGCTAAGGATTAAATGTGTCTTTTATTCATATATTTTTATATTTATATTAGTATATAAATAATAAGTAATAATACAATAAAAAATAATTCCCATTATCAAGGGTAAAGTTTATAAATTACTGGATTCTTTTTTTTATGAATACTAAAATGACCAAAAAATAACTTTATATGATTTTTTAGCTATGTAACAATCAAATGGGACCGATTTTGGCCATTCAATTTGTGCCCACATATAAAAAATAATTCCTGCGCTATTGTTAAAAACTTGAATATCTTACAAAAAAAATACTACAAATATTATTAATATTATTGCAAATACAATGTGTATGTCTACAGAAGTGTAATTTGTTTATACTCGAAGAATCACTGACCATTATAAGTAGGTTATATTAGCGAGTGTATCGTATGAAGTTTAGGCCGGTGAAATTGCCAGGTTAGAATTCATTCGTTAGCTTTATTTTACTAATTATGCCTATCTTCGTTAAATATCACAATAATTGTATAAAAAATATGCAATAATTATTTAAAAATTATTCTGAATAAATACACATAAATAAATTCTACGCAGCTGATTTAAATTATGGAAATAAATTTGGAAGAGTAAAATTTAATTTTCTCAATTTAAAATTCTTTTTATATTACATGATATACAATTTTTGTCAATGTTCAACTCCCTAAAACCATTTCCAAAATTTTCCAAAAAAAAAAATCCAATTACCGTGACACATTATTATTTTATAATACTAAATTTTTAAATTTTTTTTAAATGGTTTATTATTGTAAAGTATCTATGGGACAACTTGGTCGAAACAAAATTAATTGAAAATATCTTAACTTAGAACTAAACTGTTAAATAAGAAAATAATTATATGAAATTAAATATGTCTGTATTAATAATTGTTTTGTATTTTAGGAAATTTGCAACAAGCCCGTTTTTGTGAGTGATTCAACGGCTCAATTCGACATAACTCCTGGTAAAATGGGTAAGTCCAATTAATCTTAATTAATTTTGTGTGAAGTAGATTAAAGATCACTGTTGCATGCGAAATGTTGTTTTGTCTCAGTAAAGAACTAGGCTGGAAATCCTAAGAATTAATTTTCCGCTGATTAATATACCAAACAATTTTTCTTTTATTTACATTAAATCATTACTGTATCTATTTTAAAATATATTTACACTTTAACTTTCACTTGGATTGAAAAGAAAAAATTGTCTTTTAGGGTATGGAAAAATATTTTCGCAGAGAGAGTATCCGTACCTAATTTTAGGCCGTGCTAGAAGAAACGGATATTATACTTATAAATAAATGTAGTTTTTTTATTTATATTTTTAATCACACCATCTACATTATTATTAAAAAATAAATATATTTCCTTTGAAATTCACATTTACGTTTAAGAGATATTTCACACTTTCCCTTTTGATAATTTATTGATCTTTAAATAATGAATGCATATTTCAAGAATTTAAAATGCAATTCCTAAGTATTTGATGAAATAATTCATATCAATTGTGTATGAAACATACTTGTCACATTATTTCATTAATTGATCTTAAACATACCTATTTTAATTCTTACTTCTATATGTTTTAAATACAGAGTAATTAATAAAATAATAGAACGCACATAATTCAATAGGATTTAATCATTCGTTGACATAAGTAGTACATATTTGCTTCGCAGTATCAAGAATATTATCTTATTGGTTTATTATTACTATACTAAATCATATTTATAATTTATGTTTGTGTGCAAATAACAACTTAAAAGAATTTGCGTTCTTTTATAAATATTGATTGATTGTAATATATTACTCAATATTTGTATATTAATTCTATGGTGAAGCTACAACCTTGTTTACTCATAATTTTTGTTGCCAATTGTAATCTGTTAATGTCTTAACAAAAATTATCCTTGTTGAATAGCCTGTGTAGTCTATAAAATGAATTGATGTTTAATATAAATAAAACTGTTTTTCCAAGGGCGATTTTTAAATAATGTTTCTATAGTTGATTTGATTAAAATGCATTTTTGAATAGCCCGTAAGATTATTTCAATAGTTAAAAAAAAAATCAAATTGAGTTTTATGATTAACATGTTGCGATCATAGGCCAAAGACAAGTTTAAAATATTGATATTCAGGTAACACTTAACGAGAAATAAAAATAAACTACATGTTAAATTTAAAATATCAATAGTCTAATAAATTGTCATTTATTAAAATATCTTTATATTTTAATAATATATTTTATTTCAATATTCACACGTTAGAACGTCAGTGTATGTGATGCATATATATATATGCATCNTTAATAATATATTTTATTTCAATATTCACACGTTAGAACGTCAGTGTATGTGATGCACATATATATATATATATATATATATATGATTATATATAACTTACACTATACATTGTATAGTGTATATATCAATTTATTATGCATACATTTTTTTTGCAAATTTAGCAAGCAATCATTTTGAATTGAAGTCATAGTTATTTTCTGTTAAATGAGTGCTGTAATATTTATAACAAAAAAAATGTTTTCTTTACGGTTTCTCTTATTTTGACTTTTTCATCATCAAATTTCTTTAAACTGTCTGTCATAGTAATCTTCGTGGTGTTATTGTTCTTCAATCCGGCACAAGTTTCGCCATAACGGAATGGTGATGAATGTTGTACGTGTATAGATCAGCGTGTGCGCTTTTTGATTTGGGTACAAAGACAAAGAATAAATAATTGTGCCGCACCACCTTAAGTACACATTATTTTGTGTAAGCAAGCACGACACGAAGACATGCAACACGTGGCCTTGAACAGTGATACGAAGACGTTTTAGATAAAAATGTGAATGGTCAGAGCGTAAATAATTTTTTTTGTGATTATTCTTAGACTAATTACGACCAAGATTTTTTTTACACTCTTAATTTTCGAGTATTATTTACAGTCGATAATCGAGCAATTGTGTAGATGCCTAAAGAATGATTTGTCTTATGTTATATCCTCTATGAAGGGTAAAATATTCAAGCCACAAATTAGTTATTCTTTATTTAAACATATAACTCTCACTAAACGTCAGCTGAGAGTTGTCAAGTGTATCGATGTCGTCTCTATACTATATGCTCACAAGTCCGGAACAAATTAGGCTTCTGCGTTTGTTCTTGTCTTAGTTAGATACTCTTAGATAGTCTTAGATGCATTGTTATTTAACGTGCATTGTCAGCATTAACTGTTATTATAATTAACATACATACCATGGTTATGATTGAGTATTGAACAATTTTACTTACGGAAAAATAGTGTAAGAGCTTTAGTTGAATCTATTCTACCTACTGAAAAATTAAAATTTATAATTATTTTTAAATAAACTAATTACACAAATGAAACGTGAAAATATCTAACAAGTAAGTGTGAATAAATGTTGAAAAAACAGTAGAGTTTTAATTTTTTACTTTTTGTACTAACTATTTAAAAATAAATATACCTGAATTCATATCTAAAGGTACGGTTACATACAAAAAGTTTGACATGTACGTAAATACTATTTGGGTATTTTTTAATTTAGGTTAATGATATGGTTAACCATTACAATTTTTTTGCAATATTTAGATATTGATTGAGAATATATTAATACTTAATGCTTTAAATTTAGTTGTTGAATAACACCGTTTGTAATTAAAAATTTATTCTTACAGGGGACAAGTGGCTTGTGTCTTGTCTAGGAGTTTTATACCTCTGTAAAGGACTTTTCTACCGAGTAGTACCTGCTGATCAAACATTGTCCACCGATAAAGAATATTGTGGTGTATTCCGGTTTCGACTATGGTGGTGTGGTGAATGGATGGAAGTACTGGTCGACGACCGACTACCGACCGTTAACAACCGATTGGCTTTTTTGCAGTCTTCACATACTGATCAATTTTGGCCAGGGCTTTTAGAAAAAGCATATGCAAAGTGAGTAATTTAAGTTAAAAATAAAACAATTGTAAGTTAATTAAATCTTGTTTTAAAAGTACATATAAAGCATATAATTATTACATGTATAATACCTGTTACCAACAAAATATCGATTTAAGTAAAAATCAACTTCCAGAAGTTTGCATCACTAATAGTCAAGTAGTCAATGTATAAAATCAATAAAAAAAAAAATTAAAATTATAAAATATCGTTTTATTTTCGATTTAAAATAAAATCAAAAAATTATTTTTCATGCCTAAGTATACATTTACATAGCAATATGCAATAACATATTTTTGCAAACGATCATTGATTAATTTTTATTGATAGTTTATGACCTCAGTTGGTAAATATAAAATGTTGTAGGTGTATATAGTCATGACCGTCATTTTATTGGAAAGAAGGTTAGTATTAACTTTCACATGGTCATCACAAACTGAATGTAAGCACTTGTTTGTGTGAGACCAAAAGTATCTAAAGTATGACATTAAGTTTTTCTAAAGAACAACGGTATTAAAGGCCTCGTAAACAATAGGTGTTACCTTATTGTAGTGATTGACTTAATACCAGCTGTTAAAGAATTTAATTATACTAATCAGATATTTATGCATAATATTTTGGTTAGGTTAAGTTTGTTTTTTTATTGACGGTCATTGACGTGTGGAAGTTATAGCCTTGGATAACATTGCCTATCGCTCTGTTCTCCAACTTGTTCTAAAAGATCACACTAGTAATATTATATCAGTTATTTGAAATTCAATTTTTTATATTTCACTTATCTTATAAATAGTTGAAAACTTCAGCTAAAAGTTATTGTTTATATGGAGATATATGGCGAGAATAAGTACACGACAATTACATTTATTCATAAATAACTGAAAATGTTGTTAAAATGAAGAATTCTTAGGTGGGTAAATCTAGATAAGATTCGATAAAAAAAACGCTCGAAGCATCAAATTCAACCTCGTTGCATTGGTTCCGCCCCAAAATAGTATAGCGTACAATAAAAAAATAGGCCAAAATTATTCCAGTATAATGGGGTCATTATACTTAAAAAAATAACCTTGTTTATTTGAATAGGCAAGCTATCCATAATAATATTATAAGTACCCCACTTACAATTACAATTTTTAGTTAAATAATTGAATTCTTATAGATCTTCGTTATGTTTTAAATAAGATTATTATTTTTTGGTAATTTCAAATATTATACTGTAATTATCATTTCATTTACATGTAGTCTATAGAGTAGAATATATTCTACTCGTAAAACTTACAATAGACTTAACATCAAATTTAATTATGATTATTAATTCATAATTGATATATTGTAAAATATGTTAATGGATATTATACATTTTTAATTATTTGGTTCTATGGAAAAGGGTTTCAAGTCAATTTCACACCTTTATTTAAAATATTTCTATTTAGTATTTAATTTAGACATGATATTAAGATATTTATAAAGAACCTATCATAATAAAATAAAATTTTTCTAAAATATGTTTATTTTCAGGAGTTTAGAGGTTCTTCTTAGAAATTTGATGAAACATTTTTAACTTAAAAAAAAATTAGCACAAGATTAAAATTTATTACCAATTGTATTCAACTTTTACTCACATATTCTGATTTTATGATAAATTAAATAAATTTAACTAATTATTTTAAATCAAGTGTTAAATATTCTATACAGGACAATTTATAAATTTAACGAATCAATATTTTAGAATAACAGTTTTTTAATGAAACACAAAACTTTTTGTATCTATTTACAAATTTATTTTTCAATTTTTATACCAGGAAAAAATCTTAAAATACTTTCTACTCTGAAGTAAACATTGAAAACAGTTTTTTCAATTTTTTATTGAAACCTGTATTTTATTTTACAATTCTCAATAATATGTTTATCATATTTTAAATGAGTGTCTGATAGCTTCAGTGCTGTTTATGACCAGTTTATGTCTATGTAGTCCTCGTATTTTAACAACATTAATAATTGCATAGCCAATCACTTTCTAACAGACTTAACTTGTTTGCCAATGAACTTGAATTTAAAATTATTGACCGAATCTCCTGTCTTTCGAAAACGTAGGGCAGTTGTGCTTTATTGATTAATATATTGATGCTATTCTTTATTAAATGTTTTTTGGTATGCTATTGAATAGTAGTAGTTTGTTGCTGGTAGACAGATGATACGTTTGGAATTTATCCGTTTGAAAATGTGAAAGTATACTTATTGTAACCGTTTCTATCGAAGTCTTAGGTTAAAATTAAACGCATGTCCAGTGCGTCTTTTTGGTCGTGTTTTGAATAGTCAATTCGAACATTTTAAGCCAAGTCTATTGACTATATAATAGTCATTTCATTTATGTGACCGTTAGACATGCACAATGAATATAACAAGATACATGATGTTTTTACAGTGAATATAATGAGATGCTTAACAAGATAAGATTGGTAAACCTAATAAATATTATCTCAAAAAACATGTTTGAAATTTGTTAGTAAAAATAATAACTGTGTTATCAATATTATATTAATATTGAATGGTGTTTTACGACGAAATTTCTTGCAATACTTATGGGATTATAATAGGTGTTACAAAAAACGCTAAATAAATATGATAATTAAATGTTTATAATGTATAAACTTAAGAATATAATTTTCTTAAGTACAAAATTGTGAGCTAGATAAAATCAATATTCTTTTCCATAATTTATAGAAAGAAAAAGTTATAAACTAGTTAGTAACTGTGAGGCATTGACCTTGGGTCTGAATGTCTAACACATTTTATTGGTTTGAAGTTGTTTAGTCTCATTATAAAATTAGTTTCTCTCTTTATTGAATATTGAAAATAATTTTCAGTATTAGTTTTCTATAATAGTATAAAACATTGTCGCATTAAGTGAGAAAGGGTCATGAAATTTGGAGTAATATATTTTTAGGTAAATCCTATTTTTAGTTTTATTATACAATAAGATTTAATAACAGATTAATGAATTTTTGAAAATTCTCTGAAATTTATTTTATAGTTGAAATATATTGTTGTGTTTTTCAGATTACATGGGTCTTACGAAGCTCTTAAGTATGGAACATTGTTGGATGGTCTGGCTGATCTAACGGGTGGTATCACTGAGAGCATTAATATTCGTCAAGACCAGACAGCGTGCGGCCGAATGATTGGCAAAATGTTAGAAATGACTTCAATTGTCACCTGTACCGTACAACCGGCGACTCCTCAGGTATATATTATTAATTTACAAGATCTTTAAATTTATTTCATAAAATGAAACACAAAAGAAATTAAAAAATAAATACAATTTTAATTAGAAAGGAGTATAATTTAATAATAAAAAATGTTTAATGTCGCCAAACATTATTAATTATTTAAAATGAATTATTTAATAAATAGTGACATTTATTAAAATAAATAAGTTATTCAATTAATTAAATTTTCGGTAACATATTTAAGACGTGGTTTGTTTGTTAACTGTGTTAACTATATCAGCCACCATAGAAGAATTATTTACAGAAGTTAAACAATATCGTGTTAATTATTTATTTGTGTTGGGAAAAAATTCATGTAGGCAGTCCGTAATAATAGACTTGCTTATCCGAATATGTATAGGATATACGAAGTTGTTACAGGTAGCTTAGTTTCTCTTTCCAAACAGTGTTTAATTATTTTAAAGTCGGTTTCATTTGTTTAATTGTATATTTCTTCGGACTATGAGATATTTTTTTATCATAAAACTCTCAGAAGCTACTTAAGTTTCACTTAAAAAAATGATTCTGTCTATCAAATAATTGTTGTATCTTAACGTTTAATTGTTTTTTGGAAAAATTAAATATACTAATATATTTATAATGTATTTTAATGAAAATTTTTTATAAATTTAATTCATGTTCTGTGTACTAATTTAAAACCATTAGCAATTGTAATCTTATATGTAATTAAACAAAATATTTTACTGTCCTGGCAATAAGTTAATATACTTATTTTCAGTTTTTTTATTGAAATGTTTATTTTAAAACACNATATTTTACTGTCCTGGCAATAAGTTAATATACTTATTTTCAGTTTTTTTATTGAAATGTTTATTTTAAAACACTTTTAAGTATATAAAAATTGTCATACAAAAAGTGCAATAATCCGTTTTTTTTTTTGTTAAGAACCCAGAATTTAATAAAAAATGTAAGCCTTTAGACATATTCTAAAAGGAAAAAAGAAAACATTAAGAATAAATTTACATTCAACTACTTTAACCAATAACGTAATTAACTCTTTTAAGTTTTAGTTCTTTATAACATTATACATGATAAATAAGCTTTATAATAATAGTATAATATACAAGAAAATCAATATAAGTTTCTTAAAATTCATATTTTACATAAAAAATATATTAAAAAAAATAAATGAAAAAATACTTTTGCACTAATGAAATAATTTAGAAAAATGTTTTCTCAATTTGAATAATTTTGCTGGAAACGATGCTCAACTATTATTTGTATAATGCATCAACCCTCAACTTAAAGTGTTATTCATTTTTTATAGCTCAATACCATTTAATTTAAACTACGATAGAGAGTATTAAATAAAATTTATATTTTAATAATAGTCTAGATAAATTTCAAATAAAATTATTTTACTTGTAATCTTACAGAATATACAAGAGAAAACTAGTTATATCTAAGTAACTTCTATCAAATGCTAAATACTTCTTTATTGTATTGAATTATATTACTACTAATTATTTTGTGTGTGTGTGTGTGTTTTATAGACGAGCAAAAGTATACCAGAAAAACTATCAAATGGAATTCAAGTAGGAACGAATTATAGACTTTGTGCTGTAGAAAGGGTAAAAATTAATTTAAATAACTTTTAGTTTACTATTAATTGATAATCTATGTTTGTTATTCGATGAACTTTATTTTAGTTGGAAACTTACAAAAGTGATCCATTACAACTATTTAAACTGCGTCAGCCCGGCGGAACTGGGTCAGAATACATCGGACCATGGTCGAGGGATTCTGAAGATTGGGATGATGTTCCACACAAAGAGAAAGAGAAAATAAATGCATTACATTTAATAGATGGAGAATTTTGGTATTTCTTGTTTAAATTGCATATCCACTTAAAAAGTTCAAATTAGAAATGTTTGCTAATTTAGGATGAATTATAACGAATTTGTGAAAACTTTTACCCACTTGGAAATGGTACACTTAGACAGTGATACGAGTCGAGACGAACCTTCGCTGCATCACAAAAGAACTTGGCAAATGCGACTCCATCAAGGGACATGGCAAAAGGGAGTTACCGCAGGAGGATGTAGAAACAATCCAGGTTTAAAGTTTTATTGAAAAATCAAATAAAATATTTTTATAAATCTATTCCATATTTATACCTTAGAAACATTTCATATAAACCCTCAGTTACATTTGATTCTGAGTGAAATGGAAGAAGTCGTTATCTCACTAAACCAGCATAGTATTATGGAACCTAAAGTTATTGGTTTCACGTCGTATTCGTTACCAAAATCTTGTATGGATTCTACGGGCAAAGAATTTTTCAAAAAAAATAAATCTTTAATTAATTCACAATATACCAATAGTCGACAAGTATGAAGAAATAATAAATAAATAAATTTTAATAAACTAATAAAATATTTATTTTTAGGTTAGTTATAGATGCTTTTTGGATCAAGGAGGATATTTGATAATTCCTACCACGTTTGAGCCTAGCCAAGAGTCAGGGTTTACTTTGAGAGTCTACTCTAGTAAACCGCTAAAACTAAAGTAAGTTCGGCTTTAATGGATTAATTAAGTGTTTGATTCCTCTGTAATGGACCATATAATTGTCTTTCTGTTTTCTTTGGCACAAGCCATTGCTTTTAAGAAAAGACGACAAACATGAATATTTTAAATAAATAAATTATTTATTAAAAAATAAATAATTCAATACCTATACATTTTCTATTTTTAGACTACTGGACACGATTCCTTCCCTATTGAAATCAGCAATAATGAAGGTATATTGTATTAATTTATGTTTAGTGATTAAATATGTTTAATAATTTTTTTTTATATAGGCTCCCGTGAACTTGGATGGTAAAACATTCGTTCAATATGAATCAGTGTTCCTACAATTGGCTGATGAGCATAGAACAGTGAATGCGTTTGAGCTTCAAGAGTTATTAGACGCATGTCTACCAAATGGTAAAACAATTATTATGTTAATATTACACTTTGACTAGTTATTTACTTTTGATTCGATTTTTTTAGATTACATCAAAAGTTGCGCTAGTATGGAGGTTTGTCGTCAAGTAGTAATTACTCTAGATGTAAGTTTTTTTTTATAGAAGTTGTATTTAAATTTACAACTTATTTAACATATTAAAATGTAATCAACTAAACATCACGTTTGTGTAATGATGTTTAAATATATGCAAATATGTGACTGTAGTTTTTGGAGGGTTACATGACCACGAAAAATTTGAGATAATAATTTCCAACTAAGGTCAATGAGTTAAAAACTATTCTTTATTTTAATTATTTTTCATTGTCTTAATAGAGTACGGGCAGCGGAAGGCTGAAATTCAACGATTTTAAAGACTTGATGTGTAGCCTCAAGTACTGGCAAACGGTTTTTAAAAATCATTCGAAAGACAAGACTGGTATCTTGAAAGCCGAGAGGTTAAAAGATGCACTCCTCGAAGTTGGCTTCCAAATCAACTCGGAAGTTCTGTCTGTTTTGATCCTAAGATACATGCGTAAAGACGGAACTCTTAGGTTTGGAGATTTCGTGTCTGCCATATTACATCTTAGCATCGCATTCAGTTTATTCGAATCGAAAGATCCATTGCTCAACGGAAATATTAAGCTGAGTTTAGGAGAATGGCTAAAGTCTGCATTTATTTGTTAATTTGCTGAATATAGCCAGTGCTCTGAGCAGTTTTATATTGTGATTACTTAAATGTACCTTCCTCGACTGTAAAATTCTTATTAGTGTTTTAAATTCGTTTGTTTTATATTTTGTATAGTATCTCGTTAAACATTTTTTAAGTTGTCAGTGAATTTTATAAGTCAAAAATACTTTTTTACGTATGCATTATTATATAATTAAGATATTTTTATAATAATTCGATTAAATCAATTTTCATTATGAATTGTTGTATACTCGATATCAGTTATTTTTGTTATGAATATTAATTATTATATTTTATTAATATTATTATTATTATGATACAATACTTTACTGAGAGTTAATTATAAATATAACTAACAAAATGACGTGTATTGTAATTATTTATTAGTAAATTAAATTTGCTGTTATTAAATTCTACTATTTTTAGAATCAGTATAGTGTTTTTTTTTAAATGTATTAAAAAATAAAATGTGAAATTTCATTCTAGGGCACTGCATATTCGCTGTTACACTTCTCTAAATAATAAAATTATGCTAAAACCATAAAAAAAATATATATTCAAAGCCTATAAATAGTATCCTTTAGTCCCACTTGATAATTCAGTAAAGGAAGGTTTCAAACATGAACTATTTTATTTGTTACAGATGTATTAGTTTTTTACTATATAACCGAAGGTTTTCATTTTACTTATCCTTGTAGTTTCAAAATAAATAAATAAATAAAATTTATTTAATGTATTATAGAAAATAATATAAAATAATCCTCACATATTGGAATTGTTTTTTTATGATAAATTAACAAAAAAAAAAAAAATCGAAATATTTGAAGTTATAATAAGTCATAATTGCTAATATCAGGTGTTATACTACTAATATATAATTATTTTGATATCTTTTTATCAATATTGTGAAACACTGCTCTTTAGTGTTCAGTAAAATTAAAAATATTGAAAGCAATTATAATAAATATTTAATAAAAATAATAAAGTCACAATACAATGTAGACTTATACGATAAATATAAAAAACATTTCACCATAGTACAGTTATAGAAAAGAGAACGTTATTGAGTAAAAATGTATCAAGTATAATAACATATACTTTATAGTTAATTATAAAATAACAATAAAAATTATGTACAAAACAATAATAATTTTGCTGTCAGCGTTATTTACTCCAGCGGCGATGTCGTTTGCTCAAACAAGGTTTGAATATTTCCGTCACTAGAATCTCAATCAGTCGAATGCCGTTTTTGATGAGTTGGTCGATACTGGCCCCGGACTTTTGATGGTACATGGTAATCGGTGATCTCCAGGGGCTCATGGTGAAGTAAACGGAACGGACAGGAGGATGATCCATCAGTTCCATCTGAGTGATTGGCGAGTCTAAAGAACCATAGTTTTTCATGCGTATCGTGGTACAGATGTTGTCGAGTTCGTCAAGAAGAGATTTTTGCACAGTTATCTTTTGAGCAGATGTCGCACGATTATCTGCAAGCGTTTCCAACGCTGCCTTGATACTTTTTTCCATAACAGCCATTTGTACCACTACATTGGTAGGATGATAATCGCCTGCCATAACTACGTCGTAAATTTCTTTGAGTACTGCGCAAATACGTTTAGCGTAAGAAGTGCAGTAAAGGTTGGCAAAGTTAGCGGCGCTATTAATTTCCACTAAAAAGTTTTCTACAGAAAACACTGGCCTAGTGCTTGAACGAAGTGCTACCACAGCCAGACCCACAGCACGACACATATTCTGCCGGCAGCACAGGTCGACATGAGTTGACAAAAGGGAACGAGCTGCTGACTTCAGAGTACCATATACGCGGCCTGCGTCCACACAGGCTGGATGCTTCTTATCGGTAGGCCTCAAAGCTGCAGATAGTTCAGTGAGTTGATCGCACACCATTTGACTTACAGTGTGTTCAGAAGTCTGGTATAATACGAGATGTGCGATAGCTTCTAAGTGTTCACTGAGTCCAGTGTCCCAAGTTTCTACTACACAGCCTCGAACGTAGTCCGTTTTGAGGCAGCCGTCCAAAACGGCCACTAAATGGGACGGGTCCAATAGATCAGACAGACGACGGGGATCGAGTAAATCCAAAATGTCCGGATTCCTGTTACAACAGCCATCTGCTCCATCTTCTTCATAAGCCTCGACTGTGCTATTTGTGGAGCAAGTTTCGTCGTCACTGTTGTCCATCAACGCCGGCACACAGCCGATTTCTAAATGAATAAAAAACATTTCATTTATTTTAATATAGAATATTTTATATTAATAAAAAATATTATATATACTAAAACAATTACCTAAACAAAATATATTAATATTGTTTAATGAAAAGTAAATAAACTGTACACCGAGTTTTCGCTGTAGTATATTAATCGTTATCTTCAAGTTGTTAGACATTTTTAGAACTTCATAGTTCATTATTAGCAAAACTTTACAAAAAAATAATTAAAATACAAAGTGAAAAAACTTGATTGAACTGGAAAAAAAAACTAATATTTCTAAATTCAATGTAGCTTCTATGATTATACACATAGATAGGTGTTAATATGCAACAAATTATTCTGGTATATTAATTTAAATTAATTTTAAAGGCCATAGCTGGTAACTACTTTTAGAGAGATTTTATGACCGCAGATTTTTAGCTTATTATATCATTATAGTGATTTAAAATTTTATTTTAAAAGATAAAATTATAAAAATATTTTGAATATGTTATAGTAATGTTATAAAAGAAAAATTCTATTAAAGTTCCCAATCTAATAATAAAAATATGTAACGAAATGTTGAAAAATAGTGCGATAATGTGTACAAATTGATTATAATTAAAAAATTAATGTGAAAAACTTATTTTGCATTTTTAATAATTTATAAGATCATTAATGAAGGATATAGAAGATTTCATCATTTTAAACTATTAAATACTAGAAATAATACAATTATTTGTTTGAATGTTTACAAAAAAATTATTTTGGACTTTACACTCACTTAGAACTATACATTTGAATGCATCTATTAATTAAAAAAATGTAATAGCTGCAAACGTTTTATTATTTATAATAGACTGGTATTCAATATTTAAACCTATTTTTTATTTATTTTTATTATATTTTACCGAAAGGTATTATACTTATATTAAATGCAACATTTTAAATTATTTAATTAAAATGGTTTTACTGAAAAATAACTTATAGTCATGTAACTATGTCAAATATACTAAATACAGAATACTAATGATAATATATTTATTATTATTATTGAATATTATAAAAGATTATACCATTTAATTAACATTGTAAAACACATTTAAAATTTATCATATTGTATTCTCATACAAAACATATTCTTATAAGTGCTTATGGGTAGTTAAAGAGGTGAAAAAATTAAGTATTTAAAAAATTTCTTTTTGACAGTAGTTTAATTTATATTATAGAACAAATAATACATAGTTTTTATAATATATTTCATTTTTATTTAACAATTTAAAAAAAAATAAAACAAGTTATTGGATATACAAACCGACTCAATGGTCGGTGATCACTGTAATTTAAAAAGCACTTTTTCGAAAACATGAAAAACTAGTAATCAAAAACAAAGGATTTTTTTATTGATTATTATATTTTTAATAAACAATAAATTAGAGCTCTCTTCTATGAGAATTTGCGTTAAATTATCAGATGACGCCATTATGTTAATTTAACTAATATTAACTGTAAAAACAGTTTTTTTTTTGTTTGGTTGATTTTATATGAACTACGTAGTATCATTTTATGATGGTCACTGTAAAGCTTAACATAATGTGTTATTATGAATTTAGATATTATAATATTTTTAACTATATATTACATTGAGAAATATTATAATATTTTATTTTATAAATACATAATATTTATTTTATTTAATATAAATATCTCAATCAACAGCAGTTCAGTTTTACGTTTTATTAAAATGAAAAAGTCAAGTTAATTCAATAATACTTACTATGGCAGTTACTATGATAGTATACTATAAGAGCACGTCTCTCGTTTAACACGTCTGCTATTCTTAATGCTATCATTAAATATAAGTTAATCGAAAGCTAATCACTTGGCTAATGAATAATTGAATTAAATCATTAATTACAAAGTTAAAAAGTAATTTTCTAGTATTTTCTAACTACATTTAAATTATTATTTTCTTAGCTTATTCGATAGAATAAAAACTATACTAACACCTTTCAGCTAAATGACAGAGTGAAATATAATGATGACAGCAAGCTTATTGTTACACTACGATTTTTGTTTGACTGATAATAAACCAGTTTGACGGATTTATTTTTTAATTTATTGTCGTATTTATAAGTTGTAGTTAGTAAGTGTATATTTTTCATCCACATATGTAACTCAATTGAATAGATTTCGACAGTTAGTTTTAAGTATTCATTAAGATGATAAGTTCTTAGTATACAAAGCATTAAAAAGAAAAATTGGTTATGTGTAAGTGGAAAAACAAAGATTATAAAAATTTAAAAATTATATGATTTATTAAATACACGTGAAATTCTATCGTACATAATGTAATTTATATAATAGAATGTAATGAAAAAATATACTTAAATTATGTTTCAATTTTGCCAAATAATATTGTTAGGTCTATCACAATAATGGTTATATTTTCCAAACGAATGTTTTGTTAATTAGATAAATAATTTAGTTTGCCGTAGTAGTCATGTTTGGTATTAAAAGACCTATTATAATTACATTTAATGAAATTATTTGCTTCTAATTATTTTTTACACAAAATAAAATCTGCGGTTATAATTCAAGAGTCCTTATTATTTCATAGGAGATGGGTATAACGTCGCCCAACCATTATCTAATTGCTCCTTTTCCATAAACAATTCTCAAATTTTGAGTGAAGTGTACAAAATAAAAGTCTTATGGTGATATAAATTAAACATTTTTTAACCAAATATTTAACATAATATTCATATACATTTTTTAACGACAACGAAAAATGACAATAAGCATCAACGCTGTTCTTTGGTAATATATCCAAACGATATAGATACTAGTAATCTAACTGTTATCTAATACTGGTACTGTATTATAATAATAGATCGAGCACATCATAAGACTGTAGATAATATCTAGGCTGTTTATTAAAGATGGTGTGCATGTTTATAAAAAATTGTCTTGTTTCGGTTACTACATCTCAAAATATACAATATTATATTAAATTAACGATTTAATTCTGAAATATTTTATAAAATTGTGAATTATTAGTGTTTCACAGCTGCTTCAAGCCTCATTAATATTAAAGTTAAAATCAGGAGAATGCGTGGTAAATTAAAACCCATAAGATTTATTTGTATCTCTTAAACAAATTATTCATCATAATAACTTGAAACATGATAGAAATATATCGAGACTAATTGGTAAAAATCTCATTAATTAATATGTATTATTTTAAGAAAGTTTAATAAAAGTTAAATTTGGTCTACCAAGAAATAAAAATAATATGGAGTGTAAAAATATTTAAAAGGGGTAATCGACCTGATGACTCCCTGAAGGTGTGGTGCAACTGGATAATTATTAGGGTACTTTTTTCAGCAACGAAAAACATCAACTTTCCCTAATTTATTTTCATTTAAAAACTTCCACTAGTACTGCCCTAATTTTAATAAGATTTGTTCATTCAAATACACTTTATTCGTGATAATTATTTAGTTATTGAAATTCTATATAGTTTTACTTGATTATTATATGAAAATGTCTAAAATATCTAAGACCCTAATTTGAGGGTGCACTTGGTTTGTAAATAATATAATTTATAAACTTTTCAAATACTTTGCCTGGGCATCATTAATCTGCGACAATCTCAGAGATACCTATGAAAATTTTACAATACTTCCAACTAGTGTCAATATTTTATTATTAGATTTTGGGTGAATTTGATTATGTGTGTATTGGTATGTGGAGGAACAAAGGTTTTCTAACTCGTTTGTTTTATCATATAGCTGATCGAAGGTTGTTCTCCCCGTTTAAGGTGACTGTGATATACCCTTAACTGATACAACAATAAGTATTCAACCACCGAATATGAACATGCCGAGGGGATGTGTCGGATAAAACGAATTCTTAAACCTCATCAGAGAATTTCTTGTGGAAGATATCTTAATGCGACAAGTCAGTGGTGTTTACTACGGAATGTTTTTTTATTAACAACTGAATCATGTCTTATCATGAGTGAATATTTTGATATGGGCCAGTATCCATTGTAACTTATCGATATGAAGTACAAAGAAATCCAATGTTATCTATAATTGTATTTAATCCAAACAATAAACACGATAAAAAAGAAACAACACGCTAACAATTATAACAGATTTCAATATTTATTTTCATAAATATTAATATATTTTTTACTATTCCTTTGTTGAATTTTATTATATAGTATATTTCAATAAGGATATTATTTTTTACAAATTTTAGTCAAATATTTTGCACTTTATATCAATGATTTTGTTTAATAAATGCGGTAAATCAATACGCTGACAGATCTATATAGTTTATTTTATCTTTATAGCATCAATTGTAAGTACGTGCTATGAGTTAACTTAATATAATTTAGTTTACATTATAATTATAAAATTAAAAATCAAATAAAAGTGTTAGACGATTCTTTCGATTTTTTTATAGAAATGTGGATTCTCGTTAAAATATTCTTTCATTATTATTATTTTTACATAAATTAGCTAAAAATATTAAAAAAAAAAAATGATTAGCAAGAAACAAATATGTATGGTAAGGTAATCGGCGGAAAAGAAAAAAAACAATATTTTAAACGAAAAGCAATAGAAAATCATGGGGTTAATATTTGACAAAGTAATTTAAGCAAAAGGTAAAAATAAAAAATAATGTTAAACTGGCATTAAAATATTGCAAGACAATCATTTATAATGAATTTTTAAAAATACAAGTACTACTTGTATGGCTACAAATTACTGTAAATATCACTTCTATTATTATGTTAATAATTATTATTAAGTTTATATATACTAAGAGACATTTAATTTAAGCAATTACCTTAAAAATCTATTTATTAAGAAAAATAAAATGTAATTATTTAAAAGAATGAATACTATATACTATTACTATACTATTATAGTTCAGTATTTTCTAACATCTTTAAGTCACAATTATTAATTATTATTGTTATTTTTATTGTAAAATTAGAACTTACCTATACGTTTTAAAAATGTGCACTATTTCATTTTAATGATTTGTATGCGACACCACAATTTTACACATAAGAGATTGTGTTTATAGACAAATTTAACCGAAAAATCAGAAATTTCTGTCTAAAGGCTAACTATATCGATCTTAAGTGTAAACACGTTGTGTGTGTACACAATTGTTACCTATCAACGGAAAAGACCGTCAGAGACTGTTGTGATAGTAGAGCACTAGTCTGACCATAATCGAAGTTAATACTCAGGTTAAGGTTCATTGAAAAGTGGGTTTGATTTTAATATTTAATATTGCTTGCAATGCGCATCATATTGATTAGGCTCATATAAAATTGTTTCGTTTTATTTACAGTGATAACGTGTTAAATGATTTAAAAATACAACATGATCCGCATATGAAAGGTCCTATAATACTTCTATACGAGTATTTAATCACGTACTTAAATATTTTAGTACGTATTCTATTTGTTTCACGTTACTTATCTTTGTGTAAAATTTCAACTATACTGAAATACGTAATCATAGAATTATTTTACTTGGTTCTGAAAGATACACTTTTAATTTTTAAAATTGTTTACCGTTGTGTTAATATCATTGAAACGGATTTCTAATAAATGTATAAAGTATTTTACTACTTCAACAACACGCCATTTCAACTAAATGCGTGTTAAATTTCGATTGGATTTCAATTTTTGTCATAAATTAATATTGTCTCTAAAAAATTTCTTTTAAATCGAATCTTGTTACATTTTAAAAATGGCCTTATTTACAAAATCATAATTCTTAAACTGCCAAAAATAAAAATAAGTTTCATTTATCATGATTTATTTATTTGTAAAAAAAAATTATGCGTGTGGGTTTTTTTCAACGGACAAAATAACTTATCTACAATTAATTTTTCAAAATTTGACAGGAAGCAATTGTAGTTTTTCAAATTACTATTTCAATCAATCGTTGTATTGGAATATGATAATTTTATTTTCAAGCGTATAAACTTTTCCATTGTGCTAATAAAGATAATTAAATAGATAATTTGGTCGTTTAAATGAGATTATATTTTCCGGTAAAATCAAGTCCGTAACATATTATAATCGCATATTTCTTAACTTATCAAATGTTAGACACGAGACTGATAATGTTGATGAATGGATACCCTACTAATATTGCATGAATGAAACCAATAATTGAAACCCCACTACTTTATGTTAAGGTATAGTAATATCCATCATGTGCGATTCAGGTAGAAAATGTGCGTAGGCAGGTGGTATTGAACATTATTTAAATCTTACTTCTTCCTCCGCGAAATTTGACCATCCCAATTTTTTTTTTTTTTTTAACTCATCTTACATTAACACGTGGTAGTGTGTAAATACTTTAACATGAGTAATTTTTAACGGTTAGAACGTCAAATTGTAAATGTATATTTCTTACTTTTACAGAATGAAAGTTTTTTTAAACGATGCTGTCACGCGAGTGTAATTTTAAACATAAAATTACTTAATTCAGTGATATTTCTTTCCGTTATGTATTTTACGCAGAGTTGTAGCTCTACGATAAAGCTACGACATAAGTAAAATTTAAATATGATTGTTTTGCACGATTCAAAATAAATTTAGAAAAAACTTAGAAAACCGAAGGAAATAATTTTTAAATACTTTATGCATTTGTTGCAAGCATTGGGACTTTGATTTACGGTTCCTTACAATACCATAAGTACAAACATGTATGGTCAATGTCAAAATAACCTCTTAAGTTAGTTTTATGTTTACGAATATATTTTATGCTTAAGAATGTATATCTACTGGACGCACGTTTTAATTGAAAAAATTGAACTATAAAAGATACCCACCCTAGTAATAACATGTTATTAGAATACGTATACAATTCTGAAGTGGCTGTTCCTCTGTTATTACGAATATCTATTAAACATTCATAATATTATTACGCCAATGCTTTACCTTACAAACCTTTACCTTTTGAGTATTACGATTATTATTACTGTCTTAGAGAGTGTACAAGTATAAGATATTGTTGGGTTCCACTGACCATAAATTTTTCAACCTCAATGATATATTTTAATAGTTTTTTCCTAAATCGGTATTTTTTCTGTTCTTTTGTATTCGTTGATAATACAGTTTCTATCAAATAAAAAAACTTTATAAATCGTTATTTTAATTCTGACCGTATTATGATTTTTTAAATAACAGAATAGAAAAACCTCAAGGGGAGAGTATAAATTTTTTTTTATCACCCAAGTCGCATGATTAGGCCCTGTAATTAGAAGTTAGTCTAACAGGCAATGTTAATGAGACAACACTATACGGAATTCATAGATACCGAAGTTGTAATTCAGAGTATAATTTTTGTGTTAAATTATATACAATTTTGAAATGTTGGGTTAGATCTTAGAAATTCTCTCAACAACAATTCTCATTATACTCTTTTGTTTTTATTCGGCGCTGTTCATTACTCCATAATTTGGAGTAGAGTAAAAATCACTGCATATTTTATACAGTGATTTTTATCACAAGCGGAATGGAGAAAAACTCTTTTGTATTTGTAGCCTAACGAATAAATTGATGATAACATTTGGTAAAAATTGTTTTTGAAATTCCAAATAGCTCATTGAATTTGGATTTTCACGTAGATATTTTCCAAAAACCTTACTATTGTAAACAAGAAATTTAAATATCGTTGCCGTTTTTGAAATATTGGTCCTTACGATGGTCCACAAAGAATACACCACAATAATAAAGGAAATAAAAATAAAACGAAATTGTTGGGGCATTCGGCTGATAGGAGCGCCTGCAACAGCATCCCGTAGTGATGATCTACTACACGAGTATAGTGCTCGTCCGGCGGTCCGTTGGTGTTCACGTGTTCCGTCTGGTCGTTTCCGACTCTCCTCCCGTCTGTCTTTAGTAGCCCAGCAGAACATTTGGCCGCCACATGCGTTGTGGTTGCCTGCTCGTTTGGTGACCGTCAAGAGAACAACAGACAAAATTATTCCCTTTGCGTCATCTTTTTTCCATAGTGTTAACGTTCATTTTTTAGTGGTCAGTGTTCAATCAAACCGAATTATGTGTTTTTGTAGTGACTAGTGGTTAACGCGCGGATAGTCATTTTTTAAACTATTAGTTAATGACAGTTTTGCCGTCGTATTTTCCAAACATGACGCACCGTCGACATAGACTTCTTGTTTTATTAGCAACACTCTTGACGGCTTTAGCAATCACTACCGGAGATTCTGATGTGCAGCCCGTAACTAGTTCTAAACAAATTGATAACACTGGCGGTAATCACTGCTACGATGAGCATAACAACCCTCAGGTAAACAATCATATTGAAAGGCTGGTGTAAGAACCAGATCTTTTTCGGGAAATAATTTTATGTTTATTTTAAATAAATATCATTTTTTTGTGTAATTCAGTACAAAAAAGCGTCGTTATATACTTTTATTACTTGTGAAGATGTTTAGTTTAGAATAACATTTTGATTAAATTGCTTTAACTAGAAAATTAAAAAAAAATAATGGACTTATTTGGTTTTTGCATCAAGTCCTTCAATTTTATGACACATTTAATGTATAATTATATCCTGTGAATAGTTTTGAATGTATTTAAAGAATATAAGTTTTTATTAAGCTAACAATTTTATATTGTAAGGTTTCATTATTAGTTTTCTAAACAAAATAATTCAAAATTTATTTTTTTAATATAATAATTAAAATTTTACTTGAATATTGCCGTGAAAAATAAACGGAACTTAAATCTCACAATAAATAAATAAAAACAAATTTTACCCGATAAAAAAAATTACATAAAATTTATTTAATACATCGTGTTACTTATTTTTAAGTTTAATTTTTTCTACTACTCTGCAAAATTCTTCTTATTAACAAATTGACTAAATAGAACGGTCTAATATTTGTAAAATTATTTTATGAATGAATTGTTTTTTTTTTAAGACGTGTAATATTATTGTAATACTCTTTTTCGAATATATTCTTTTTTATTATTATAAAATGGGCATGAGTATCCAACATACAATTAATCAAATTTATGATTTCGAGTTTAATCACTCTTACAGTTATATTTAGAAGTAGCTAAATTCATACTTGATGGAAAAATGTACAGTAATTATATAGAGTTTTATTTGATCGGGGACCTTTTGATTGCATATACAATATATCATTAGGTTGTTTTTACTTTAAAAAATAAATTAGAATATTAAAATGAATAGAATATTTTTTTGTTACATTACTAACTGCAGCTGTTCTGGTTTTTGTTTTGAGCAAATAATAGAAATACATTCATGTTTTTGACCCCAAACCTGTGGATTAAGCCGTTTGATTCATTTGTTGTATTGAAATTTTTTTTCTCAAGGAGAGGATATCGGAATGATCTTTTGTTGAACGACCTTTTTCTTTGGAATTCCTAGAAGTACAAGCCGTGAGCCTACGGTATAGTAAATCTATTGTCTCTAGAATTACTCATATTTAGGTTTACAAAAAATTATTACTTTTGGTTTGAACAAAAATTTCGTGACTATAATAACAGATAATAAGTTAGGTTCATGAATACCAAAAGGATTAAGTTTTAAAAAATTAATATTCACGAGTTTCAATGATGACGATGTTAATTGAGAATATTTTTAAATCAATAATAATTATTTATTATGGATTTAATTATTAAAAACACCAATTAATTGAATTTATATTTTATTTCGTGCACATGTATGGAATCGAGAATGACCTCACAGTCATTCAGTTACCTTGTTATCGTTTTCGTTGCTATTATAATGTGGATATGATATTGCATTAAATAAATTTCTTAGAACTTTATGGATAATACTTTACGTAATAATAGGTTCGTTTACCTAGAAATAAATTTACACTTTTTAATAAATAATTCATCTATTTGTTCGGATCGTTATAATTTCAATTTATTTTTTAAAAAAATTATTTGTATTTTCCCTAGTCAGAAGAAAGAAACTAGTGATGAGCAATTTTTAATATTTTAAGCTATCAAATAGTTTATTTTTAGCATAAACTATTAAAAAAATTATTGTATAACTATTGAATATTTTTACTATTCGAATAGTTCAAATAGTGGACAACTATCGAATAGTTCGATAGTTACAATTCGATATTTCCCATCAGTAGAAGAAACTATTGATAAATAACATCCGCGTCTTACCTCCAACTGTCATTATAAAATGTTAATAATTTCCGAAATACTGATTTAAAGTTTATCGACCAGTCATTTTTTTAATTAGATTATTTATTAAATAAGCCAGTTAAGTATGTATGTAGTCCTTTAAAAAAAAATAACACTTTTATAAGGCATAGGGAATGAATACAATATAAAATACTTCATGATTAATAATTTGAGAAAAACCTAAAGAAACGAAAAAAATTATCAATATTATTTTATTTTTCGATAAATCAAGTGGTTTATGAAAAATAAAATAACATATATTTATACATACGTATATTATTAAAATTTTAAATAAAAAACATCTCACGCGGTTTTAACAAATTGCCATAAAAAACTATGTACATTTGTCAAAATCTAGTGGAACACCTTATATACAATTTTGAAATAGGTATTTGAAATACCTATGTATTTTAAAATATATGTATCATAGTGTTTACATTGAGATATAATATTTGTTCGTTTATTTTTAACAATTGTTTTTTAACGAGACACCCACGGCTTATTAGACACTCTTGTTTATTTGGTCTACAAACTGGTTTTATCATTTACTTTTCCCACATCTCAGGACACAAAATCGATTTTACACACAATCGACAGTCTTTATTTCATAGAAATTATTTATCATGGATAATTTTAGTTACCTTATAGTTTTTGAAAAGCTTTTAGCTGATTATAACGATGCAACTTGGGATAAGAAATCTTATGTATTTTAACAAAATAACGAATTCTTTCTCTGATAGAAACAATTTAAACGTCAAATAAGCAGATAGTTTTAACTGACACTGCTTGTTTTTTAACAATATTCGTTGCCTCCTTATAACAGAACTAGTGCGTGTTAGGTATAACCTATCGTATAATATAAGCTAGTAAGAACATGTTTGAGGAAAAGGATAGTGTAAAATTAAATGTTAAGCTCTGCGCATAGGTTTCGTGACATCTGCTTTAGTGCATGTTTCGGGTCGGATCTAATTTTATACAGAAGTCGTAGTAACTGCATGCTGAGTTACGTACACCAGAGACCCTTTTAGCGTAATAATAATTACTAGTTTGTATAATGTCTATATAAAGAGAGAATATACAATAATGTAAGTATGTACAATAATACTATGCGTACAGAGTTTGAGAGTCCATATCATCACAATGCAGTGTTTCTTAGGAGGTACAATCTTGGTAGTCGGACCGTGAAAAGAAACTGGACAGCGGAAAGCATTTATTTTATTGAAAACGACAAGATAAATCCTGTTAGAAGTATTTAAATGGATAAACTTGGTGCATTTTCTATTTTAACAACATCTGTGGGGGGAGTTTAATTTGGTTTCATCATTATCGCATTCTTTTTTGTTATACGTCAGACTTCATCAACATTTGAATTACTACTATGAAACGTTGTATTAAATATATTATATTTATTTAAATATACATATTACGCATGTGTAAATAAAATATATCTCTAAATGAAAAATGGAAACATGTTCTCGTTTTGTATTTTTTAAAAGAGACAAAGACTGAATATTTTCTAAAATAATTAAGAAGTAATACTGACGTCAATTCATTAGATACGTGCATTTTTTGCTCTAAACGACTGCAAAAATTATGGAAATTACATTTAATAATAAATGTACAGTGCAAATTTTCAAAAGATTAAATTCCGAATAATTTTTTTTATCAAGAAACACTTAATTAATCAAAAAGTAAATTTATATTAATAATTTTGTTTACTAATTAAGCAGTATTTATTCTCGATTTATAAGTGTTAAAATATTCTTTATGTTTATTTCTTTTAACTTATAAGGGTATCAACTTTGTTTTTTCAAATAGCAACATTCATAATTTATTTATTTATTAGATAATAATCTAATTAAGAAAATTCTTGGTCGATAATGACTTTTAAACCAGTATTTCGGAAATTATTAACAATTTTATATCTAGTTGGCAGAAAAAAGAGAGGAGGCTGAGAAATGTTTAGCGATAAAAACGGAAGCACCCACGTCTTACCACCAATCAGTATTTTAATTGTTAATAATTTCTGAAATACTAGGTCTAAAACTTGTTATTGAATAGTTAATTTTTCTAATTTGATCATTATCTAATAAATAAACTAGTTAATAATGTATTTTACAGTCTGAAAAAAAAATTGACACCCTTATATGTTGAATATAAAAAATATTTCATGATTGAACTGAAGATCCCAATAAAAAAATCTTTAATATTATTTTAAGTTTTTACTAAATAAATGTTTCATAGTAAAAGAATCTCCTTAAATATTGAACAAAATATAATTGGTTATTGTTTTGGTAATTTATATTATATTATATATTGATCTTAATATTGCTTCAAATAATATTATTAACCTTATAGTCACATTAAATTGATTTTAAGAGGAATGTGCAATATTTATTATATTTTACACAAACGTATAATCATTAGGTTTTTATAAAATATTAAATGTTCAAAAATAAATGAACACGTGTCAATTGCACCACTTATTTTTACAACTTCAGTTATATGATAATGTCTAACATTATAAAAAATATTAAAATAATCGGTTTCAATGATTTTTTGTTAAATTTACTGGAATCATATAAAATTTAAACGATATATCATTAAAACAAAAATACTATTTGCATTTTATTAAAGAAATCTTGTTTGGTATTAAAAATCTAAAATATTCTTTGCTGCTATACATTTTTGAATGCTTTAACATGTGTCATATTTAATATACATAAATCAGTCTTTAGTGAATAACTAAAATATCATGCACAAATCATAGGTTTTTCCAATTTTTAAATTACCTTTTATTTACAATTATGCAACAATAGTCATGTAAAAAACGTATCAATAAATAAATACTATATTATAATATAAGTTTAATAAGTATATGAAACATCGTTACAACTTTATAACGTGTATAAAACGTTATAAAGTTATATAAAACTCTATGTACTAAGTAACGTTTATATAGAAAACGTCACTAATGAATAATTTTTCAAACATTTAAAATAACTGTAACAATAAACGTCTTTGAAAAAAAAAACGTTGTAACAATGTAAATCATTTAACAGTAATTTTTTTTTAACTTCAAATCCTGATGACAACTCAATTTTTATATTGTATAGTAATACTTAATTTATTTTTCATAGCGTTGTATACCAAGTTTTGAAAATGCTGCATTTAATCTTCAAGTGGAAGCAACTAATACATGTGGTCAAAATGGTCCTATGGAGTTTTGCGTCCAGTCTGGCAGTCAAGTAACGAAAAAAACTTGTGATATCTGTACACCAACGTCGCATCCTCCATATTATATGACAGATTTTAGTAGTTACGCGAATCGAACATGGTGGCAATCAGAAACCATGTTTGAAAATGTGCAATATCCTAATCAAGTCAATCTAACACTACATTTTGGTTAGTAATAAAAATTATGTTTCTAATTTGTTTAATAATAATTGTTTTAAATATTCAATTAAAATAAACAAGTTGTTCATTAGCTCATTTAACATGATAATGATTAGCTCGCGATATGTTACCACTTATAATATATTGAGTGGTCGATAAAATTTAAATTTCAGTTAATAGAAACATTAAATTGATATGTTAAATATTAAAACTAGAATTAAGATTAGTTGCGACTTTTAGTTTGTTAATTTGTGATTCTTAACACAATTTGTATGTTTAGATATTCATTGAACATTAATCATTAAAATTTGTCTTATATAAAACTCATAAGTAATATATATTTTCAAAATATTCGTCTATGTGAAGGATCAATATTCTTTTAGATATATTTTATTGCATTTATAACTTTCAATTTTTTTATCGATTTCATAAAAAAAAAAAAAATAGAATGAGCGACCAGTTAAGAAGTTAAAATAAATCGTTATTTATTTACTAATCACACATCTTTATAAGACTGGATTCTTGTTTGCAAATCACAAATCACCTTATGTACACACATAAATATAACTTGGTGTCGTGAACGAGACTGGAATTAAATTTTGTTTTATGAAACATAAATACATTTTAGATGGAATCATGTGGCCGAGTCGGTAACACTCCACTCATCCCTTAGTATACATGGTTAAAAAATTTTCCCTAAGGGGAGGTTGCAATCGCCCTCAATGAGCAGTAAAATGCGAAAAAATAAATAAATACATTTGTATAATATATATAATAAATTAAAACTTTATTACTTGAGTACTCTATTTGTTGTCATCTTCATTTCTATAAAGATTTCTAATCTTAACGTTCAAAAGCGTGTTTGTATAAAGTTATTTTCAAAAGGCCTTAGAGCTTAAAAAGTGTTAGTATACTAGTTTTTGTATAGGAGTATTTATTTATAATATATTTAGATCATTTAATATATGTTCATGAACATTAATATCATCAATATGTGGGTTGACCTTTTTCCGCTGATTCACATGATCTGTTTTATTCATAATTGACTCATAACGCGTATATATTTACTTAGATGTTCATCGTTGTTATAGACTTATATATAGGCCTATGCGCACACCAATCTAGAGTATAGTGGATCAACTGAGACTTATATTAATCATCGCCACAAAAACAAAAATTGGTTAACTCGTAACCGATAGTAATAGGTTGTCAAAACTGACAACAATCGTCTCATGCAACTACGAAGGTGGAGCTCAGATAATTAAGTTTTCGTGTTAACATTACTATAAGAAACTGATTTTCATGAGATATTTTATACAAGTTTCGGTTTTTATTTGAATAAAAACTATTAAATAAAATAGTTACATGTTCATTAATGAGGTATTTGGAAAAAAGTATCGATTATTTGAGCTAATGAATAAAATAATTTATCTACCAAAATTAGCTGTAGAAAAAAATGTCTCTTATACTAGATACTATACTATTATTTGTATATATTTTTCTGTATTTTTCAAAAACTTTAAAATAATGATTACTATATAACACTTTTTCTGATACTTTTATTTTAAATTATTAAGTTCGCTCAAGCATCTTTTAGTATTATTTTTTTAATATTTAACACTTTGAGCTTTAATATTAGTAATTCATAGTATTATTATTATTATTATTATTTACTTTACTTCTAATTTTAATTATTTTCACAAAGATGTTAAAATATTACACACTTTTAGAGAAATAATACATTTTATTCGACGATGAAATAAACGTTTAGTATCCAGATAAAATATAAAACAGGAAACAGGCAAGTAATGACCTCTGGACTATTAAATTGATATAAAATCATATCGACAGCAAAATTTCCATTTTAACAGTTTGTTACGTGAATAGAATGTATAAAAAAACGAAAACGGTATTAAAAGATTCTAATTTGCACATATTTACTTTAAATTACATAAGTATAATTTATAAAAATTAAAGTATATTTAAGAAAATTAATTTAATATTCTTTCAATAGCTTTGATTTGATACCGGTTAAAAAAACGAAGATCTTTCGGAACATTATTAAAACTTGAATTGAAAAAAATATGTACAATCGTGGGTGATTACTTTCAATTTTTTTCATTACTCAGGTTTATATTGAATTTCATGAAATATGTACAAAAAAAAACTTATTTTCTCTATTTTACTCGATTTTACTCTATTTAAACTTCATTAAGATCTGTGTTTTCAAAAATTTTTATACCCGTTTTATAATCCAGGAAAAAACCGGAAAGGGTCATTATTTACAGTAGTATAATTTTGATATATTTTTCTAAATTTCTAAAATTAAAGCGTTTTTTTTTATTAATTTTTGACGAAAATAGGTTTATCAAGATTATAATCGGGTTTATTTGACGTATTTATCATTAAAATTGGTTCAGTGGGAGCTGAGAATATTCATGGACAAATAAATAAAACTTAACCCATACCTTCTCAACTTCGCATAGAACTTAAAAAATATTTCAACAGTGTTATAAATAGAATTAATAGATATTATAGAATTTATAGATTAATAGAATTGATTAAAGATTTGTTAATTCATTATTATATCAAAATAAAAAATAAATCTGCGAATTAGTAAAGACTAAATGTATATACTATCATATTTTTAATGCCTACCTAAAAAACGTAGACATAATAAATTAAGATATTATATAGCTACATTGTAGTATATAAGTAGAATTTATGGTTTTATAAATTGGGTAATTATAATTTAAAATCAATTTTCAATAAGCTTAACATAATATTATAAGATCATTAATGATCTATCAAAATAAAAAAAATGTTATATCATGACATGACGTAGACGAACAGTTTATATCTGAAAATAATTGCGATGTTTAAATGATTATTTAAATTTACCAAATTAACCTTTTGTAAAAGCATATCGTTATAATAAGATTAAACTATTCGTTTTTAGTTTGAATTTTTGTACAATTTCGTTAAGAATGAATAATTTTATTATATAACAAATCAATCCAGTATTTATAATCGTAATCGATTGATATACAAACATTACTCAGATTATTTATATCTTTATATTTTAGTTAAGTTTGGCTCAAAATCAGACAAATAAATTACAGCCAGACGTTTTGTCATTTCTGTAGGATGACCATAATATAAATACACTACTTTTTTATTTTTGTTCGCCCACAAGACTGAGTATAACTCCTTTTTAATCGTTTTATAACGATGGTTTACAAAATTTTATGCTATAATGGTACACATCAGTTTGCAATTATCTACATGCCGTCAATGTATCTTTATGAAGCGACTCGTACGACTTTATTTTTGTTGTGCTACCTATAGATGAATTATCTTGTGCATAGTTCATTCAAAGTCTAACTTGGAACAATTTATTTTCTTATACTAATTATATAGCAAAAAAATATTTTTTATTTAGAAAAATACTGAATGTTTTAAATTACCTTTGCTTTTGGTAATATTTTATGATAAGTTTAGGCAGTTGATATTTCCTTGCAACCATATATATTTTTTATTTACTTGCCTTATAACTTAAAAAATTACAATTACATAATAATTTTACAAAATTTAATAATTATCAGTTTTGTTAACTAAACATTAACATTTTGTCTATACATTTTGTATACCTGAAATATCTGTTCGTAATTTTTTGTTTATAATAGTATGTGAGTAAACGTGTCTCTAATGCTACGCATATAATGTGTAAATAAAATTAAGTACGAAACAGTAGTGAATTATTTCACTCTTGAGTTAACAAAGAAATTCGTCGGCACAAAGGAAAATTGCGATTTTTTATGGAACGTCGTTGACAGTTTTACATTATGTGTTAATTTTATGTATTACTCATTCGAGTGGTAATATCATTTACAAGGGCGACAAATCAACAAATTTATTTTGAATTATGACTGATTTAAACATAACATTTTAGTTTATTATAACAGTGAACCTTATTTTGAGAATAAAGACTTTAAACATTTAGTTAATAAGAAGTGACTCCTATGAAATCGCAAAAAAGATTTATCGCACCCTGTAGTGTAGTGTCTTCAATATAATGTATGTAAATGTATTTGGGTTGTATCGGATATAATGTCGTGAGTCCGATTCTACGTACTTCGACTACATCCAAATGACCTATAACACAATTGCAATTGCTGCTGTTGTAGTTGAGGATAAGGATAGTTTTGTGTACACGACAAAGATGAAGAAACCTATTTGTATATATAAGTTCTAGGTAAATATTATTCTTAGTTAATGTACACTTGTATTACTGAAATCAGTTAAACATATTTTAACGTCGAAGTTTCTTTCAGTACAGCCTCAAAATATTATTTACTATTTTTCAAGTATATTAATTAAAGAAATAAAATAATACTCTTTCAAGAATTATTATCTATAAGTATACACTAATATTTTTTAAGTATTAAAAGGTTATTAAGGTTTTTAATAAAAAATATTATATTATTTCATATCTATTTATAACAATTGTAATATTTTTATTCTGAGTTATTGAATTATTTGATTGGTTAATATAATCTTTACAGTAGGTAATATCAATATTTATTTAATTTTAATAAACAAATCTTTTATGACGTTTTCCAGGTAAAGCCTTTGACATCACATATATTAGACTGTTGTTTTACTCATCAAGACCCGAAAGTTTTGCCATTTATAAAAGAACTACAGAAGATGGGCCATGGATCCCGTATCAATTCTACAGGTAAATTAATATTCATTTATTAAATATATAGACATAATTGAATTAAATTTGGAATATCAGAAATATTAGTATTAAAAAGAAAAGTATAATAGCAGTTATAATATGATATAACACATTTTTAATAAGACATTTATGGAAGCAATGCATTTTAATATTTATGAGGAAAACATATTATTGGCGGCTACTAAAATCATTTAATATTTACTATGCTTAGTACAACTTCTTTAAGAATGTGGATTAAATCCTAAATTAGATGTATTTTTGTTTTTCTTAAACTTCTTGAATTTAAAAACAATATATTGTTTATGAAACAGTTTTTATATTTATTTAAAATACGCAGAATAAATGTATCATGATGATATCGTAATTTTTATAATAAAACATATTTGTAATATTGGTTAAATGTAAAATGTTGGTAATTGTCAATGGAAGTTGTTTTATAAATCAAACGAAAAAAATATCGTTAAATGCATTAAAAAAAAAAAAAAAAAAAACAATATATTTGAGATTTTTATTAATTAGATACATTGATTTAATAAAATTTCACAAAATAATTTATTCTTAAATAAAATTATTATAAATTATTATTAATTATAACAAACTATTATGAATGTTTTCATAATGATCTATCTTTTAAGAATTAGTGTAAATGTCATAATTTATTATGTAAATATAGTAAATATTAACATTTTGTACATTATTTATAATAAAATATTTTATTAAGGAAATGTGAATAGTGTAAAATATGTTTTTCTTTAGTTAGGGAGTATTTTAAAATACGTTTCTGATTATATTATGTTTTTGGTTTTAATAGAAGATTATTTCATGCAAATCTATTTTTATGGTTTCATTAAAAGTACTTTGCTGTTTTTCAGTGAATATTATTTGTTAACATTTAAAAATATAGTTCATTAGACACAATGTTATAAATGCATATGTGTGTATGTGTGAGTTTATTTATTTATAGTATCATTAAAATGTAGTGTATATTAAGATACGACCGATAGATTAGGTAATTGATTTGACGCTATATTGTTTAAACCCAACCAAACGCTAAATTGTACATTACCAAACAACAATTATATTATGTCGATTGCCACTGGAATTTCTGGTAATATTCTTCTTCTTCCTCGCCATAATCCCAACTACTCAGGGTCGGCCACACTTATCCTAAACTTCCACTTGACACGATCTCACACATAATTTACGCTCAGCTGTCTCTATATCGTATTCAATAGCATCCTCCATCTCTTTTTTGGTCTTCCTCTACCTCTTCTTCCTTCAACATTCATTTCTATAACTGTTCTTACAGCTTCAGATTATTTTCTCTTCATAACATGACCAAACCATCTAAGTCTATTTTCTCTCATCTTATCCACGATTGACGCTACACCTATATTCCCTCTTATATGCTCGTTTCTTATTCTATCTTTTCTAGTCACACCACTCATCCATCTAAGCATTCTCGTGTTCGCTACACTCATTCTCTGTTCTACTTTCTTATCAACCACACAACACTTTGAACCATATATCATAGTTGGTCTCACTACAGTTTTGTAGAATTGAACTTTCAGCCTCATTGGAATTCTTTTATCGCATAAGACGCTAGACGCTTCTCTCCACATCAACATTTAAAAATATAGTTATTTTCTGATATGCGAAAATGACCAATAATAAAACGTCAATATTATGCTGAATAATATAACTAATTTTAAAATTGACTATCATAGTAATATCATGATAATCACATTATGTATTGTTACCTATAACATTAATGTTTTCGAATGTAGGAGACTATTTTAAAACTTACGAAATTGTAAAATTTTAATGAAATTTTACTTGTCAAATTATTTTTGCAGTAAGACATTGAATTAAAAGTATTTTCATTAATATCATCTACGATAAACGCTCTTCTTTTGCTAGTTACTACTTTCAAATATACAAATTATTATTTTTTTAAAAAGTTTAATAAACAATTATATCAATTTACGTAAGTTTACTTATGTTACAGCTAATTTTTTTTAAAATTAATTGAGCATACTACACACACAGTGAACCAATCTAACTGATAAACTCTTATTAATTTTGATAAAATTATCATTTATCTGTAATTTTTTTGATACATTTTTTGTATACATAGACTGCATAAATAGTATGTATATTTTTTTTTCTAAAAATAAATTTAAAATATAATATATTTATTTTAATTTTATATATATATATTTTTCAACATTTCAAAGCAACAACAATTTCTTACAAAAAATATTGATGTGTGGATTTTAAATCTAATGAGTGTTTATTGACCGAAAAATAATTTAATAGATGGTGTATTAATATGTAGCGTGAGTATAGCTTGAATTAGTATATATTTATAATACATACTCCGCTCACATATTCTCACTAAGATATTAAAATATTTGCATCTCGATAAGTAATTGTTCTAAAGTTATTATCAACCCATCAATTTTTTTTTTAAAAATAGCTATTTTTATTAATTAATTTTTACATTTTTTTTTGTTATAAAAAAATAATAAACATGCTTTTACGTAGTCAAAAAATACAGAATTAAAAAAAAAAACCCACAAAGTGGGAACGTGACATAATTGAGACAAGTTCAGGTATTATTTGACAGTGATTAAAATCACCATCATAATAATAAATGCTTGGATACAAATTTTAAGATAGTGTTTAAAATCGAGAATTTTCACACAATAATAGTATTTGGTAGCCATTTTCACCGTGAAGATAAAATAAAATCCGAAATTTTTTTTTTGGATAATAAAGTACATTACATTAGTTTTAATTTAAGATATATATAAAAGTGTCAGACTTTCCGGAACATTTTCAAAAGTCAAGTTGAAAAAATTAATTTTTTGTGAAAAAGTTGTCATTTTAAGTCCCCTCCTGTGGGCAGGTAAAGGGTCCGATATATAAAAAAAATATACCAAATGAAAGGTAATGATATCGTGTGTTTATATAAAAATTTGTAATTTTTTCGGAGATTTTACCCATTTACGTGGAATGAGAGAATTTTTTTCAATTTTTAGGGTAGTCTCTTCGATTAAATATGATTTGTGATCTTTTGATGTATTGTTGAAAGAAATCGGTTCGGTGAGAGCTGAGAAAAAGGGGTAACAGACAAAAAAAAAACACATCATAGTAAAACCAATAACTTTTCAGCTTCACATCAAAGCTAAAATATTTATGATTAAATTTTAAACATTTTTTTGTTAAAGTGAGGGTTAAATGGGTAGTTATTATTACCCTCATTTATGAATATGCTGATTCACTTAATAAATAGGTTTGAATGATTAAAAAAAAATTGATATAAAATATTCTAACATCATGAAAAACTGTGATGTTTTACGCGAAAATAACTTTAACTTAAGGGGCCGTTTACATATAGCAGATAAAGTGTTGAGATTAATACAATTTTCGCTACTCATTATATCTTAAAGGATAGAAGCTATACATAAAAATACAATTTTTTGACAGTTATGCGCTTGAAATACATCACAATTTCAATACCCATTTATGCTCTTTGAATGCTTCTCTGTATATAATTTATTAAATTCTAAATCTTATTTCATTATTATGTTTACAGTGGTTCCTGTAGAGACACGTATGGACTACCTGATTTAAATTATATACGAATCGGTGAACAAGAAACAAGAGCTTTTTGTACTTCTGAATTTTCTGATATTTCTCCATTGACTGGGGGAAGTGTACCTTTCTCCACTTTAGAAGGTAGACCATCAGCAAAGTTCTATGACTCTAGGCCAGAGTTTTGGGTAAATAATAATATTATTATGCCAGTTATATGTAAATTTTTGTGGTCTATATTTTTTAATAGTAATGTTTAATATAATTTATGAAAAAAATGTTGTCATGTATATTACAATAATATTTATATTTATAGTTGCTTTGAGCGCTCAATTCGTATTACGCAAGCAATTAAGTAAACTTATATTATTTTATTTACTTTCAAAGCAAACATTTATGTTTAATTATATTCAAGCCTTATAATTTCATTAGAAATCACTACGTTTACTATTTACTAAATTTTGTTTTAGTTTTTATAAATTAATTATAAAAGGTTGAAAGCTTTAAAATAATATGAAAAATGTTTTTGTGTAAGGGTTTAAAAATTTCTCTATTAATTGTTATTTTAATTATACTAAAAGACATGTTAATTTATTTTACGACACCTATTTATTAACAGAAAATCAAATTGGTACTGAACTAAATTCTAAAAATTTATATAGGCTTATAAATTAAAAAGTTTACTAAATTTAAAATTAAGTAAAATAGTTTTTCATTGTAAAAAAAAAAGACTGTTATATATTATTTTTATTGAATGTTTTATAATTTAGGACTGGGTAACTGCAACTGACATAAGAATTACTTTAGATCGTTTGAATACATTTGGAGATGAAGTATTTGAAGCACCACAAGTTTTAAGATCATACTTCTACGCTATTGCTGATTTTGCAGTTGGTGCAAGGTAAATAATTTATTAACTTACATAGACTTCTTATTTTATACCTATATTTCTTCAATAGATGTAAATGCAATGGTCACGCAAGTGAATGTGTCAATAGTTCTGGTGTTGATGGTTCAACAAGAAGAGTATGTCGTTGTGAACACAATACTGCTGGACCTGATTGTAATGAGTGTTTACCATTCTATAACGATGTGCCGTGGAGTAGAGCGACGGCTTCAAACGCACATGAATGTAAAGGTAATTGCCTATTTGAACTTACTATTGCTTATATTACGTTCATTACTAGATTGCGTTAATTGTTTTATGAAAACTCGCAAATTTTTAATAATAATTGTTTTATGTATCAAAACACCCGTGGATAAAAAAATTTTTTTAGAGGTGGTCTTTTTACTTAATTTTATAGTTTTATTTTCAAAATATCAAACAAAATGTGATAATGACCCTATTTTTTGTGCCATAACCCCTTCTTGATCCAATATTGAACAAACAAGTAATACTTTTTTAATTCATTATTCTTTAAAATGTTTATTTATTACAAGAAACGGTAATAGAAAATATTGTCATGTTTACTTGTAAAAACTATTAAAAACGCAAAATTCTGTGTATTAATAAATTATGGTTTGTACTTAATGTACACTCTGTATAAACAAATTTGAGAGTTTGCCCTAATCATACATTCTATATACATGTATTTTATATATATGAAATAAAGAGGTTATACATCATCAATAGAGGCATCAATTAATGTCACTAAATTGTTGCTCATAACATGTATAATTTAAAATAAATTAATCTTTTATTTTGTAGTTTAAATTTGAAATTTACTTGAGTGTGATTATCTTGTAAATTAATATTTGTTGTTATGAAAAATTATGAAAAAATCATATAAAACTAAGAAGAAAATTATAAAATGAAATATGTCAGTAGTATTTTAAACACACAAAAAACCGGTTACCGATATTTTGGCTAAAAACGTGAACAAATGAACTGTATAATAATATATCTATCACAATGCAAACAATAAAGACAGAGATGGTATTCATGGAGTTCATGTGACTCAGGCGTGACAAAGATTGTGGTCTCACTGCTGACAAACACACATGAAGAATAACTTTGTAAATGTATATGTATATATATATATATATAAATGTTTAGAGCTCAATATGGACTTCATTATTTTTGAAAGGCTTTTTTGTTTATTTTGCGTAAACAAAGATTGTGTACAATTTATTTATTAGAAACAGTTAATAGATAGTGAATTTATGTGAAATTCATATCCTTAGTCAATGCTATTACAAACGCCAGCTTTACCGTTATGTTTATGTGTACATTGGCGAGTATCACGTTATATAAAAAAAGAATTATATAAAAAACAAAAAATAAAGGAATAACAAACAGGTATAAATAAACACAGCACGAAAATAACAAGAGTGGCAAATTCGAGCTTAGACTAGTTGCCGAATATGGTCTATATGCTTCTTGGAACACTGTCAGCACTAAGTATACTATGCGTACGAGTTTAATAGTGTAAGGTTTCTCAAGACAACACTAACGGGGCCTAATTAGATACAAAAGCTATTGGAATTAAGTAAAAAATTTCTTCGAGGATTTGTGTATAGTTTTTACTATTAGTATTTTTGTGAGAGTCGAGTGCTATGCTGGAAGATATCTCATCCTCCATATGACTATCAATAATAATATTCATATAATTAAATATTTTTAAGACAAAATTAGTGAAATAAAAATGTATTGTACGATAAATATACAAAATATAAAAATATATATTTATGAAAAAAAATCTTAAAGTTAAAATAAAGAATTTATCAGGCATTGATAACGGATTTAAAACAAAACTGTAAAATGAAAATCAATATTTCTCTCTCAAACAAGAAAGTTTCGATTGAAAACAGATAGAATTAGCTTTAAATAATTTTAAAACATACTATTGAGCTTTACAATAAAAATTTGATGAGAGGTTTCATCTAAATTTATGTTACAAACGACATCATATTAAGGTCATATTGAAATAGGTACTCGTGTAATTATTGCAAATAACAGTAGATATATTACTAAGGTAAGTCTTAAATATGTCTCATGGCTTGTTTATGGGAAACATAAGAGTTGTTATTTAATGTGAGATATTTATAGAAGAGTTCTTTACATTAACTACCATTTATGTGTAGCGTAGTAGTAAATGCTTCTATGTTTCCCCTACATCACAGATATTATAATTTTGATTTCAGTATACCTTCTAGATTCTATGATGTTGGATTTAATACAAGGTAATTTTCGTATAATTTTATTGCCTGTGGTTATCACGACTTGATCAATATTCGTTTATTGTATTCTTTTAAATATTACTTGTATACGTTTTGTGAAAATAAAATTGATCTTGAACGGAGTAGTAATTTTCAGATTTCATAATTTTACTTTTGTGTTATTCAAGTATTTTTTTAATACATGCCATATTGATATAGCTCATAACATAAGTGTGATAAAACATTTAATTTCCAAATAAAATAATATGAAGTCATTCTCCTAATGATGTACTATTTTACATATTTGACTGTCACTATGCATGTGAAGAATACTAGAAAACACATTTTGTGTTTATCTATATATTATAGATTTACTATAATGTTTAAAAATAAGTAGAATAATAATAACTAATATTTGAAATTTGAAAATAAACCTGTAATAATTAGAATTCACATAAATGTTCGTTTTATAATTTAATTTATAAACCTGAAATATTATTTCTGCTTTAAATTATCTAGTACGTATGATATTGACAAATAATTTTTTGATTTTGATGAAAGAACAATTTTTTGAAAAGTATTAAATGTCTTTGAAATTCTAAATTTAAGTATAATATTCATTCAAATTACACTTCAACATTTTATTTGGAGTTAATTGATTTAGTCAAATTTCATATATCAATTAATATTAGATTACTATTCAGTTTACAATACTTAATTTACTTTAATTTGTAGGTCATTTCATAAGTTAATTTTTATGTGTAAAAATTTTAACGTTACACTGAATTGTACAATCTGATATATAAATATAATGAAATATATTGTAACGAGCTTGGCTTACAATTGAATGTCTAGAGATTTAAAAAATTATTGTTTTTCAATACAGTATTCTTACGCGAGTTCCTCAGGTATTCATTTTCCGTATTTGGAGAAACGGCTTGTCTGTAAAGTACTGCTGTCGATAGTTATGTTTCGATGTGTTGAAAAATCTATGGAAAGGTAAGATGCTTTTTCGATAAATGTACCTTCATATGGTACAATTCAATTAAATTAAGTTTAATTGAAATTCAACTTAAGGTTTTACGATAAAATTTATTTAACATTTTATTTGGATTAAAAATTTCCAACGCTTACAATTATGGGTTAAATTTGACAGAACTTAAGAATTTTGAAGATAATTTTTTTGTTTGTTAAAGAAATATTAATTCTTGAAGCCAACTTTACGTTTCATTGTATACTATAATGATAATTACAAACATTTTCATTAATTTTTAAAACCAAATTCATTACTTGCAACTTTTATATTAGTTTGAATATAAAATAAATGTAATATTATGGTTTTTCAAATGAATTTCATGTTAAACTGTATATTTGAAACGAATTTTTCGTATACAGTTTTATTGCGAAAAACGTATCGTGTGTACTATAAAAATGTGAAACAAGAAATCCAAGGGTCTATACAACTGTTTGGATAAGGATAGTTTCCTCGTAAAAGTAGTAGGCAGGTACTCACAATACTACCTTGTGTAGACTTCATCATTGCTTAGGTAATCAGTCTTCTCGGTCGTCCGCCAGCATTAGCTCTCGCGTTGTGGTCCACTGGAAAATCGTTGTTCTATACTCATACATTTATGTATTAGTTATTTTTTCTTTTTAAATTATATATATATATATTTGTTTTTTATTTTAAGTATATACTGACAGTGTGTTATTTATAAATTAATAATTTGTTTTTGACAAATTATAAATCTGAAATACAATAACTGTATATAACATTATATAAAAGATAATTAGTGATTTCAAAAGTATAAAATGTGATCAAATTGTAGTATTATGGAACTTACAACACTGATTCTGTTCTTCTTACGTTTAATGCCTTATTGTAAACCTACAGAATGGGACGGTTTTACTCCCTGGTTTACTGGTTCTGGTAATTATTTTCAAATGTATCTTGTAATATAAAATCGTTATGAATTCATTAAAAGTAATTTTAATAAAAGTATAGTGTCAAAAGTTAAACTTGAATAGTAGTACTATAAAATTAGTTCTCTACATTTTATTCTCTTATTAGTTAACGTTTGAAAACATTTGTGTAAAAATAATATCCTTGATTTATTTTACTTCTTAAATATTTTTTTATTAAACAGTGATCAATTCTTCAGTGCATAATTTTATTGCATATAAGTGTTTTTCATAAAAATATTACCTCTAGGCATCGTAATAGAGTTTTATTGATGGAGTTATACATATTTTCGATACTTGCTGGTACAACAATAAATTTAATCTTCTTAAATTTACTTCATAAAATATTTATAGATCACAAACTATTTTCATTAAACAATTAAAAAAAAAATACTAGTTATAAAATATAGTATATATAAAATGATAATGAAAATAATATAAATAAAAATGTCTTATGTCTTATAAGAACTCGTTAAATTGCTTTATTAATCAATTAAACTTTAATTTTCAAATGATAATTTATTAAAGTTTAATAAATACAATATAGTTTACATTAAGTACCGTAAGAAATCTATAAATTGGAATTCTTAATCTGATTTATTTTGTATTCTAGTGAATTATTTAAAAAATCTATGTCCAACAAAACAGTATTCACTATTTTATATGAAATACCTCATTTTATATGTATTAAGTACTCGTAGTTTCTACGAATTCATTATTTATCTTTTGCACCTTTTTAGAGTGACATCAATGGTTAATCTTCTATTATTATTATTATTTTTTGTATGAAAAGATTGATGTTTTTTTATTTTGAATATGCTTCATAATAAAAAGAACGCGTCAGTCATGTGCCTTTAAGGTGTACTACAAACGAACCATAATCAGTAATGATGCCATTATAATGACTAACCGTAATAATTTAAAATAAGTTCTATTTTGACAATTACACGGGTAAAATTGTAATTATTTTACAATCATTGTTACATTGAAGCAATTGAATGATTAATAACCTTCGTTTAGTTGCTAACAAATACGAAGTGTTAAATTCTCAATACATTTCACTAGCTTATTAGGACCTCACAGTGTAATATAAAATATCATTGTTCAACAGATCATCTATGTGTCTCAGGTGGAATATATGTTAATGAAGTGTGCACAGTCATTGATTGAAAATGTATGGCATCTAACATATAATCCGAAACATTAAGAAACTACACACTTTTCGGTAGCAGGCAATCACAAATTCCTTTTATTTTAACAATTAAAAAACGTAAATCTTAATCATAGATCATTGCTCCTAAGAAAAAGAAACACTCAATTATGGTAAATACATTTTATGTAAAATATCCTGTTTTTTACCCCTAACGCTCATGATGTAACACAGCGGGTTATGGCGCCACACACATACAGGATTTAAACCCCCCGCCCACAATAAAAATTGTTTAAAAAGAAATTAACTGAAAGACGCTAAACTATGTCTCAGGTGTGCACATTTTAACGACTGACCTTCCACCATCGCAATATACCGTTTACATGATTTACCATCTCTATTGTGAACGCTTATCACATCGGCACCCGAGGCGGTCTATTTAAAACGAAAATGCTCAAAATCTTAAGTGCTTTGACGTTGTTTGATGTGAACGCCGACGCACTCATTGTTATTAATTAATAAACTCTGAGAATCGTTTGATTTTTTTTTTATTGTTTTTAATCAAATACATTATAACGATAATCTGATATATTAATTGTGTTAGTGTATTTCTAAATAAAATTTAGTTATTTAGAAAAATGGCATGTATTAATAAATTATGGTTTGATATTGAATTTTTAATTATTACTCTGGGCATAATGATCTTAGCTGAGACTTTTGGCCATGATCATATTTAAGATTAATTTATATATTAAAATTAATTATTTTACGAATTCTAAAGATATTTATGTTTGTTTCATAATTATATAACAAATAAACGTATACAATTGGAATTCGTAAAAAAAACAGAACACCGACAACATTGGTCTTCTCTTAATGGTAATTGTCTATGAGAATTTGTTTGACGTGTGTTAAAAGTGAACAACTCAAAAAAATCTTGTTATGTAAAGTTTTGAAAAAATAAAATTAAACAAAGGAAAAATTAATATTGAAATTTGTTTTTTAGATGCACAGTATTTAATTTTTTTAATAAAATGACAATTGTGCTCGTAATTTAGTGGCTAAATTAATTTAAAGAATTGATCATATAAGTCGTATAAAAATTTAGTAATAAATTAATTTAACAATAATAATATTAGTCCATTGACACCTATTAATATATTGAAGATGACAGTTTTTGTTTAATATTTTGTGTTACAAATAGAAATACGAAAGTAATATATGGAGATTTTTATTTTCTTTATTTTATACTTAAGATTTTGAAATGTGTTAAAATTCTTTCAGTTATAAAAGAGAATGACTGGCAAGCAGTCGGTATTTAAATAAACAAATTATTTAGTGTCCAACGGTATGAGGTTTACTACAGTTACTCAGTTTCATGGTTTTTTTTACATGGTGTTTTAAATACTTTTAGGCTAGTCAAGAACCATAACACCCTCACAACTGTGTTTGAAGTTGTTAGCGCGTGACAAGTAGACCATCTCGATATAAGTCACTCACGAACACCTGATTACCTTCCTCCACTTGAATAAATACTAATATTTATGCTGGTCAGTGTGCTTGCTTTAAAGGGAACAGAAGTAAATGACGGGAGGACTGTAAAAACTTATTTAATCCGGGTTCATGTCCGGTAATAGGTGTCGTGCACATTTTCTGCGCTTTTTATTTTATTTTTCACTTTCTACAGTGTTTCTCACGGTTCATGTACTCACCGGTGGTTGTGAATTAAATTTTTTTCTTTTAATAGACTATGTCATTTCCATGGCAAACGAGACACGCGCACTTTTTTCTTGTGGTTCCATGCACGTCGTTTCCAGTGAAAAATTAATACTATGGCAGCAATAGCTCTACCGGTTCTCACGACCTGCGCGAATGTGATATCAACCCTACCCATTGGTTGTGTTTCTTTCTTAGAGAATTTTTATTTATTTTTTTTTTGTACAAATCGACATGAAATGTTCAGAAGTGTTAATTAAGTTATGTTAAGGTTTTTTTTTCCTGCAGATACCGATACCGTGACTATCGAATTTCAAGTAAAGAATAGTTTGAGTAAACAAACTACAAAATATATTAAATTTTATATGAAAAATAAATATCCATAGTTTTATTACAAAAATCATGACTTTAAAACATTTATTAACATTTGAATAATACGGACTTAAAATATTTATGATAGATTACATCTCTACGTATTGTTATGCTGTTCCTTAAAATATTACATATCAAATATAATTTTCTTCTAACTATTTTATTCATCTATTAAAAAACTATATAATAAAATGAACTCTTTGATTAGAAATTTTGTTTTCGTAATATGATTATTGTATGAAAATAAAATACTAAATTTTCTAGTGAACAATGTCACTAGTAAATATATTTAAATGTTTTATATTTATAATGATTATAGTCAAGAAGAATAATAATTTTAAGAATTTTCATTTATGATTATTAATAAACTAATATTAATATTGCAATTCCACTTTGTTAGTTGATATTTTATGTTGTAATTCTTATCTTGAGCATCAAATAAAAATTGTTTTTCGTTATGTACTTTTTTTAAGTTACTGTTGTATTGCGATATTTTAAGATATTGTACACTGAGTAATCTTTTTAATATTTTCATTAAAACATATTTAGTTAACATATAAGCTATAAATATGTGTGTATATTTACTGATTTGATTTCACACGAACCTTTATACGAAACAAATGGTTAATTTTTAAGTCAATCATAATATAATATTATATTATAATTACTGGTATTTTTTAAAAAATTTATCATGTAAATATTGTGTACTAATACAAGAATAGGAGCTATCAATTAAATAAACATTTAAAAACGTTATCTCATTATCAACTATTACTGATCATAAAAAAAATTTGTTGTAGTTCAGAACGGTACCATATTTGGAATTGACGTTTAGATACTGGAATGTGTAAAGTACTAGATGGTTAAAAGACGTTTTTTTAAGGTCATCTGAATTCTGTACATTTACTCTTTTTAATAATTTTACTTTAGTTAAAATATTTGATACATTTTTATATTATGACATGTTACAATTAACATCTATTACAATATTAGTATGAGTGTTTAGAGGAATTTAAAATAAGTTTTTAAATATTTATAATTATTTATTTTGTATATTTTACCAGGCAACCCTATGCTAAACATAGTAATATAGTTAATAGTACATCATTAATAACAAACAATTAAGATAAATTAATAGTACATGAAATAAATTAATTTAATAAAAATTAGCTACGAATCTCGTAATTAAAAAAATGAAATTTTTGAAATAGTACTTCAAAAGTTATTAACATTTTTAAATATAGAGGGATGGAAGAGCGCGGTAGAATAATGCGTAATGATAAAAATAACATAACCTAAACTTCACCTATACTGTATTTTAAAATAGTTATGATTTTCGAAATAATCTGTCAAAAGATGTTTACCAGTCATTTTTTTAATTAAATCTTTTTTTTAATTATAAGCTAGTTAAATATGTATGTTAATAAAATTTGGTTGACCATCTTATAGGGTGTAAAGAATGTATTAAAAAAATTATTATTATTGATAAATCAAGAAATAATATTTCTTGATTTATATATTATATGAAACTAAAAAATACCAAAAAGGTTTTTCTTGATATAATTATGATTTTAATAGAAATCGAGTGGATAAGAGTGGCTATTAAAATAATCGCTCTGTATTTTCTTACCATATTTTATCATAAGCTATTAGTAACTAGAACATTTTTTTTTGGAAAGTGCAGCCGTCTTCTTTATTAAATACTTATAATATTGACATAAATAACTGCAAAATATTTTTAACTATCATTTTAATAATTTTTTAAACATTTTTTTGTAAGGGGGGAATATATTGGATATATTATTACCCAACTCAATTTGTAGTAATACCGCTAGACCTAAAATATAAGCATAAATAACTAAAAAAAATTTATAAGAGCATGAATAACAGTGATTTTTTACATCAAATTAACATTTTTGTTTAAACTTAAAGGGTATTTATATATAATAGTACAGTGTTTGGACAAATTTTCGTTTAACTTATAGTACGTAATATGAGCTTAAATTTAACATATGTTTAGCATATGAAGTTCAAAGTATATCCAGAACATTTTATTAATTTTTAACATTAACGTTAAAATTTCATGAAAAAATAGTATTTTTGAATCAGTCCTAGCGAACAGACTAAAGGTAAAAATGTTAAAAAAGTATATACCTAATGAAAGGGAAATACTTATTTTTAAAAATTTATGACAATTTTAAGTAAAAAAAGTTTAAAAAACTTTTGTCTTGTTGTTGAAAATTATCGATTTAAAGAGATTTGAGAAAAAGAAGTATATGGGACAACAAAAAAAAAGTGGACCATTACTTGATCCACTTTTTTAACTATATTCAACAATGGAACGAACAATTGAAAAATAAAGAATATTAAAAGCAATAATAAATGTGGTTAACTCTAAACATTTCTATTAATAAATCCAAAGCTATAATGCTTTACTTTTTAAATTAGGAATCAAACAGTATACCTAAATTAATAATTTAATTTGATATTAATATTATAATTAACCTGAAAAGCTGAGGTAAAATGAGCAAATGCCATAACTTTATCAGAAAATATTCCTATGAATATATATTTAAAATATAAAAAATATTCAAAAAAGTTTTTTTTTTAATTTTGTATCTTGACAAAAATGTAGTCTATAATTGAATAGGATTGACAATACCAATTTAACTGTAAACTTTATCAAAACCTTTCGTAAAGTCAGTAAAAATACTAACTACTTCTTAATCGGTGGACATGGTTTCCGTAATAAATTGCAGAAAAACAAGATTGGTTATAATAGAGGAAGAAAGCTTTATCTTGAGAAAGTCGTGATAATCGTTATTAATGATTGGACCTAGAATTTAAATAATTTTAGGTACAAATGATTAAAATAAAATAGGTTTACAATGTGAAATTATAGATTGATCAATCTATAAAATTAGGAGATATGAAAGGCAATTTTTCAGGCCTAGGAAATACACTGGAAGAAAGAGAAATATTATAGAAACTTAAAACTCCAGATAAAATATATTTACATATTTCTATAAATTCGAATCGATATAAACAAATTAAATTTTACCACGATGTGTTCTTTTTTTACTTTTTGTGTCTGTAACTACTTTTTCTCAGCTCTCACTGGACCAATATTTCTCAAAAACATGTCAAAAAATTAAAAATCGTACCTATTTGAAGGTATTACTCTTAAAAATTGAAACATTTTCCCTCGTTTTCCGTAAATGGTGGAAATTTCCCAAAAAACTTCAAATTATATAATTGGTAAATTTCGACATTTTTTCACTTTTTTTTCTAAAAATTGATATAAATGTTTGAAAACTAAATAATAAAAAAACTTTTTTTTATATAAAAACCTCTTATTTGATGTAAAGTT